GGTGTTTAGAGAATTTATAGGTGATAGGTAAGGGTTTGAAAAGGAAATGAAGAGTAAAGAAATCCCCTGTGCTTTCTATAGACAAGTGTAACATGAGAAGACAAATACATTTGTTTCCAGAAGAGATGACCAGATGGAATGAGATAATAGACTGGTGTGAGGAGTTTGCATGGGAGGGTTTTCAGTGGTGTTTTTTTTTTTCCTTTTTTTTTTTCTTTTAGGTTCTAATTATATCCTATTAGAACCTAATCCAGAGAGTACGTTATTCTCCTCCACATGGCCTTTCTTTTACTTAAAACTAGATCTTCCCTACAGGCAAGACTGGAGAGTGGAGCTCATTATTTTGAAGTCAGTTAATTTGTCAGAGTCGTTGGATGTGTTTTTGTGGAGCTTGTGCTACTAAAGTGCTGGTGTAGAGGACTAAGCAGGGGTGGGGACATAGAAGGTGTGGAAAAATACATTCTGTGGGACTCACCTTGCTGGAGAGGCGATAGACCCTTCTGTACTACGCAGAGCTGCCTGCAGTGTCTGTCTTGGGAGGGAGCAGTGGGGACAGCTTCTGTAGTGCTTTAAGGGAGGGAGGTGGACAGGTGAAAATGCTAAAGAGCCAGGTGTTTGATTCTAATGCTAATTGAGGAGCTTCGAAGGGGAGATTATCCTTGAGATAGGTGTACTATCTCCCTGTCTTTCCCTTTAGTCTTTCTGCCTAAAGTGGGTCTTGTCTGCTTGTTTCCACAAACTCTGGGGTCAGGAGAGATAAGGCATGATTGCACATGCGTTTTTCAGAGGTAATACCGACTGAAGCAGGCTGTGGCCACTTGTTCCTACCTCTGTTCCAACCTTTCAGCTGTGTCAGTAGAGCTGTTGTGCAGCTAGAGAACTGGCTCAGAGTTGATGTTATTTTTGACATCCATTTTTCATTGGTCTAGGTTCATATGCAGCAGGGCTGCAAGCAAATAGCAGCTGTTAAGAAAAGAACAGTTCAAGCTATAATCTCTGCAGAAGGAAATGTGTCCCCCTCCTGCTCTGAGTGTTTTCTAGGTCTGTACTGCTGCTTCTGTTATTATCCAGTTTCCAGATCCTTTGAGGGGGAGGCTGAGGGACACAGAGTGGGAAGGTGGGAGCATCCCTTTTGCAAGGTGAAAAGATTATTCTTGGGTACACTTCTGCATTTATAGGCTAAAGTTGTTCTTTAGTAGTATACAAAAATGTGATAAACACAAAACTCCAGAGTCGCTGCTCTAGTGCATTAGTGGAGTACATCAGTGAGCTTGCTACTTGTGAAACTTGACTGGGTTTTAGAAATTGACAGCGCTTCTGTGAACGAGGAGCAGCAATTGCACAACCATTTGGGATCTGTCTTGTAGATGGCACCGTTGTGTCCCTGCTGCTCCTGGAGCCGTGTGAAGGCCCCGGTGGGCTGGGACAGCAGTTGCAGGAAGGGCAGGCTGGTGGCAGGCCCCGGCACGCTGGCTGCCCCGGCTCTCTCTGCGGGCTGGCCGGCTGCCTGCCTGCCCCCTGCCAGCCTCCCAACAGCCCGGGCTGTGCAGAGCCACTCGGGGAGCTGGGGCATGCTCACACTGCCCACATAAAGGAGGCTTTGGGGCAGCCTGGCTCTGCAGCAGAGCGTGTGCTCGTAGGTAAATAACTGAGTGGAGAGGAACCCGTAGGTGGGAATGGGTTCAGACCTGTTCCCATGTGTCATGTGTCAGTGGAGGCATGTTCACATCCAGCTTGCTGCTTGGTAGTATCTGTGGCAGAAGTTGATATTGGGCTCTTCACAGGGTAATTTTGATTTACTGATTTCTCCTCAGTATGTAAATTTACTGCCTTCATAATATTTAACTTAAGCATCTAGTGCTGTAACAGAAAGGGGGTTTGTCATTTTGTCATTTACAATGTGATTCTGTGTTTTGTTCTTAATTTTTTCTTTGAGGGTCAAACACGTTTCCCATCAGCAGATATTAAGTAGCAATTAGGTGACAAATCAATTATTTTTTTTTCCCCCTCAGCCGATTGTCTGTATGGGGCATCCAGTGAGATTAATTTTCCAAAGTGTTCTCATCTGGGAATGAATGCAGAAACAGGAATTGGATGTGTTTGGTTCTTGCACTGTTTGAATGCCAGACATACTGTCACAGATGTTCCCTAGAAAACCATTTCTGGGTAAGGAAGGTGAAAAATCAGCGTGCAGAACCTCATAGAGCTTGCAACCATAAGCTTAGCTAAGAGGAGTAAGAGTATCAAATGGTTAGGACTTGCTGTTTGCACTACTGTCTTCTCTGGCGCTGGAGTCTGAGACCAGGCTGAAGATCAAAGCCGAGGAGGAGGGAGGGGATTTTTCCAGGTCGCTTTAAGTTGATTGTAATGGCCACATAACCTCTTCCCTGTGGATGAGGTCAGCTGGGACATCATTGTCCCTGTTTTGGCTGGGACATCTGAAGGGGAAGTGATATTACACCAGTTGACATTTGTTGCCAAACATTTCACGAATATTAATCCAGTGCAGTGGTTAGCTTAAGTATTTTTTTTTATTAGGAAGCAGCAAATTAAGCTGCTGTTCTTTGTATATACACAAAATAGCACTTTCAAATGCTGATCTAGGAATTAATCCTGGGGTGCATCTTCATTAGCTTTTTGATCAGTGATTAGGACAGTACTAGCTAGTTAAAAGAAGTAATTACTTCAGACATCATAGTATACAGGGGTACTGTTCTTTTCTTCTATAGTGCTGACATAATAAAAAAGACAGTAGTTGCTTACACAATATTTAACCAAGGAAACCATATTAAATACATCTGAACTGTGAAGTCAAATATTGCAATGTATCTATAGCTTGAGAGTGTCTCAAACATCAAAGATTACATATATAGATTTCTTTTATATATATATTTATCTATTTATATCTATGTACTTTTATATATAGATTTGTTAATATTCCTTATTGGGACAGGCAATGGTATATTCCTTAATAATGTATGTAAGTAGTTCTATAAAGTATATTTTTGGGTTTGTATGCTTTTAAAAAATGTTTGTGGGAAATCTTGACTCCCAGCTTTACTTGTTCAAGTCATGTTTTCCTTCTAACTACATGAAAGGTTTAATATCCTGGAGAAAAAGCAATCAGTGCTATCAGTGAAGAAACTATTCCATTTCCATTAATTCTATGGAAGCAGTGAATGAACACGGACCACGGGGCCAAGGGTCAGGTTAAATTGTAGGAGGTCTGGGCAGCCTTGTCATGACCTGTTTTTAATTTTACAGCCTGCTTCTGGCTGCTTCAAGTCAGCTAAAACAACCTCAGGTGCTATGCACACAAAGTACTCTTCTTAGGAAAACAGTATGGCCTGCCATGAAGCTACTGAATAATTGCTAATTCTGATCAACTCTGTCAGCTCCTGCAGAAATGCTGTGAGCTTCAGGTTTTCCTCATTTTGATTTTTTTATGAATGTGCTGAAACCTGTCATTTTTTGAGGATCTTAGTCACGATTAAAAAAAAATAAGAACAACAGCCTTAGTACACAAGTAACACAAGATTATCTGGTGGAAATAATATTTTATTACAAGTGAAACAAAAAAAGCCTCTGAAATCAAATATATAAAAAGTCTGTCCAGGGGTAAGTAATTGCCTCCTTGAACTAGATTGTATGTATTTAATCCTTGTGTCAGATTTCTTTTTCATACTTCCTCTTTGACATAGTTAATAATAATTTTTTGTCAATGTTAATGAATCACCTATTTGTTCTAATCTCTTGATCACTACTGCATGCTCAAGTTATTTTGGTTCAGAGTAAAAACAAATAAAACTTCTACTAGGCATCTAATTGTTAAACTAGTCTGTTTTGCCATTCATTGTTGCTGTTCTTAATATATTATTTTACTTCCTCTCAGACTGTTTAGTAATGGTAATTTCTTTTAATCATTTCACGTGTGTAATCTTGTTCAGATTCATCTTGTGCTCAAAAAGTATAATTGTCCCAAAATTGCAAGAGTCCCAAACTTGCATTCATTAGAAGGCAAAATTACTCAATCTCTTTAATGGGAATTTTTTCCTTGGTATGGACTTGTGGGCCAGAGGGCATCTTACCTTTTTGTTTCCCGGTGGTCTAAATGATTTGGTGTTTTGTTTTTTTTTTTTTTTTCCTGCACTCTCAGTTCATTTTTATATTTATATAGTCACTGGATTAGGTTAAGTACATTTTGGAGATCTCTTGTGCTGGGAATGATGTGATTGTCAGCTATGAAAGACATAATGCTGAGAAACATGGGCCGTAATTTTCCTGTTCATTAAATATTTATGCTCCTTTGTAGTTTTAATGGAACCCTGTTATCTAATTGAAACAACAGTATTATTGGAGACTATTTAATTATACCTTTGGCAATAAATCCTGATGAGTCTCAAGTTTTGGGGTGTTTTTTTTTTTTTTTTAATCAAATAAATCAAAACTTGCAGTGAGCCACACAAGTTGTGGGGTGGTTTTTTTTTTTGGTGGTATTTTGTTTGGTTAGTTTTTAAATTTTGTTTTGTTTTTGTTTTTTTGCTTTTGTTTTGTTTTTAACTTGATGTCAAGTAGGCAAAGTAGTTTTCTGAAGGTAGTAAACTTGGTCCAAAACAAACAGTAGAATCTTTGAAACAACTGGTTTAAAGTGCTAGGACTAGCTTTGATTTATACTTCAGGCAGAAGTTTAACATCTGGAATCTGAAGTTGAACTTATGCAGCTTCTGTGGGATCTGTCCTGCATTTTAAATGGTCATAGTACTTCATTTTGTGCCTGTGAATTCATATGTATGTGCATTAATTTTAAGACAAATTGCATGAACATCTGTTCTAGATCTGTTTTATAGTTGTCTTACAGCTGAACTAAGATTTGTGTAAATGTAAAATAAACTTACAGAGGGTTTGAGAACTACTGAAATATTTGTGCGTGATCATACTCTGATCTTCTTTCTTGTGTCAAAACTGGAGGGGGAACTTCTGCTCTATTTTGTGGTTCTTGGATGTGTCTGGAGCGTGCTCCTGTACCTTTTGTCACACCAAATGAAACATGGGTGTTCTACAAGTTCACCATTTCTTTGACTTTGCACTGGAGGAAAGACCAGAATGCCCTGGCGTGTGTGATGCATGTCTGTGTGGCAACAGAAGTGGTCCCTTTGCTAGAATCTTGTTTTGCTAGAATTTGTTTCTCCCAGCATTTGCAGATTGCAGATATTTGCCCTGGCCACCTTCTTATCATGGAACTAACAAGGAGCTTATGATAAATATCCTATGACCTTGATGTGCTGGGCTGGGAACAAGGATGATGTGGGTCTGTCTTGCCTTTTCCGGTTATTTGACTAGTGCTAAAATTTCTGGATGTTTTATAACACCTGTATGGACCAAAGCCTTGTATCCCTTCTCCTGAAGGAACAGTTTGCAGATAATGTGTGCAGAAGTGCCTGGTGCTCTTTTGTCTCACCTGTGTGAGAATGGGCAGGCCAGGCCTGGGCTGAAACCTGGGAATTGGAACCTCTCCCGTTCTCCTGCCTCACACACATTGCTTGTGTGTTCCCATCCAGCACCTAGCCTCTGCAGGGAGGGGAAAGGCTTCCTGCATTGTCACAGGATAAAGCAGTCTGCAGGTATATTCATGGAGCATCTTGATTTTAACTTTGTTTTTTTAAGAACAAATGCAATGTCAGAAAAAAAAAAAGAAAAAGAAACGAAAAAAACAAACAAAACAACACCCCACAGTTAAAAATGGAAATGCCTGGGCTGGGTGCCCACCTTGGCAGTTTAAACAATTGCTTTGGATTTCAGGGTTGAATTTCCTGAGCAAGGCAAAAGATGTGGGGCAGGTAGGAAGAGGCTTTCTTTCCCACTAGTTCCAACTGGATTACAATGTAATGCTGAGCAAATGATGCAGCAGGATGCAGATGGACTTGATGCAGCATGGCTGCCTCAGTCTGCTTTATGTTCAGTGGCAGATACAGCTGAGAAGTTGAGGGCTGCTTGAGCTTTGCAAATTCAAAAGAAAGATCTTGAGCATCAAAACTGGATTTGGGGGACTGGCAGGCAGGACACCTTGTTTCTGAATAAAAAGGAAGCTCTGGTCACCAAGCCTTTTACGACTGTTCATGAGTGTGTTAATTGGCAGTTCTGATTCATTGTGAGCTAATTCGCAAATTGCATCAAGTTGGGTGAGAATTTGCCTGTAGTAGGATTTTGTAGCCCCAAGGGCTGGCTCTTGGATGTTCATTATCTTTAATCCGAGGAAGAGCTTGAAAGGCTGGCCTTTTCCATTTAGCATTATTGATGCTAAGTACAATGTACCTCTGCAATTCACATTGCAGTAACTGAAACGAAACAAAGTTTTGGATATCTTTTTATTTATATGCTACACTTGTATAGATTTTGTGAAAGTCTATAGTCTTAATTATAAAAAAGTTCAAAAAAATCACTGTAACTGCTGTTAATCTGGAAAATTTATGTATGTCTTGTGAAAACACACAAATCACTTTGGATGGTATGAACAGGAAAATCTCTACTAAGCAGTGGAGAGAAAAAAAGATTTTGCAATATAAAGGCCGTCTGAAGTTTTAGTTTTGACATAAATGCTCCCGTGTCAGATCAATCTGGCTCCTAGCTAGACCATTGGCCAGTAAATACTTTTCATTCTTGCACACTTACTACTGTTTGACATAATACGATGGAAACATTTTGCATTCATGAGGAGCTCAAGTGGTAGCTTAAAAGGAAACATTTGCTTTTTAGATACAAAGTATCTTAATTCTTCATCTCTTTCTCCACGATAAAATGAGGACGCGCTTTCAGCCTGTACCAGCGTGTCCCGCCCAGTTCTGGTTAGCACAGATCCTGACTCCCAGATAGAGCAGTGATGGGCTGGCCCGGGTGGGGAATGGGCAGAGCAGGCGTTGCTCTTGTTCTCTGCTCTTTTGCAGGTTTTTAGGTGTGCCTGGGGCTACAGCAGGTATTTGCTGGTGTTGCTGGTGAGGTTGAGTGGGAGTCTTGCAATCTTGGCCTATCTTTTTTCCTCAAGTGTGTAGTTCTTGGTGGATGTGGTCACTGATGGATTTTCAGCTTTTGATAAGATTCAAAGATCTATGGATCTACTAATTGCAGGCTCCAAGTTAGGCTTTTCTGTCCTCTGGGATGGTCAGGGCAGCTCTACAGTGGGATTGCTGTTACTTGTAGGTGTCACCCTTTGTCTTCCACACGGTCCAGGTACCACCAGAATCACTTTCCTCCCTAGCAGCTGCCAGCTGTCATCAGTTGCACAGCTGGAACAGCTGGGGCTGCCCTGGCATGGAAGTATGACTGACAAGATCAGGGAGCTTATCTGTGTGGAGCCTCACTTAGGATGCTGGGTTTTCTTGGTGTATATTAAAATACAGTGTATTTATCTCCTCTGGTTATGGAGGATTTTGCTCTGTCACATTTAGCTGAAATCGTCCAAGGAGGTTCAGCAGTTGTGCAAAAAGGAATGTGTGTGCATGCACAAGTCTCATTTCTTCAGAGAAACTCTCCCTCTCATCCAAACGGCCTTATTTAATACAGAAGTTTTGTTTAAGTGGGCCCAATTATTTTGGCTGACTACTTTGGCTATAATCTTTGAAATGATTGACTATGTTAAGTCATGATAATTAGCTCTGACCATTAACCTCCTGCAGAGCTGATTACAGGGATAGGGGTGATGAGGAAGTTTTTTATTTTTCTTAGTGCTATTGTTTCAGTCTGTTTGCAGAGTAAACACAATGAGTGTGGCAGTTGATTATGCTGGAGACCATCTCTCAAAGCAGAGGAGACAGATACTTCATTTTCAAACGTGAAAACCTGAGTTTTAGAAAAAAAACATGCTCTGAAGAGATGTTGGGAAGGCTCTAGGTCTATGCACTTGTGCCTTTCCAACCATCTCAACTGCTTACTTACTGAGTTGCTGTTTCTACAGCACCTATCCCCTTTGCTTTGGCTTCTCCCCAAGACAATCAGATGCTCACCTCTGAGAGACTGCACTCTGGTCATTGCTTTGAGATCATCTTGGCTAAGTTAGAGCAACAGAGATTGACTCCTCCCCTCCAGCATTTTTACAGACAAGCACAGCCCAAGTCATAAAAGGTGTGTTTTTAAAGGGATCGTGCTGTCTGACTGTAGTGCTCATAAATCAGTTATGACTGTTGCACACTGTGAGTTCTCTGAGAACAAAAGGCAGTTATTGATTTTAAGGGAAGATTGCTACAGGAGGAAGGGTGAGCAGGATTTTGTGCGTTGCAATGGGCAGCTGCCCATGTGGTGAAGCAGCCCAGATTTAGCTGAAGGGGAGCTTTGTTGAGGAAAGGAGAATCCTTGCTTGGAATAATTGCATCTGAGCCAGGGAGAATTGACTACTCCAGAGTGGAAACAGGCCCTCAGCTACCTTTGGCACAAACAGCAGGGCTGTTGCAAATCTGATTTGAGTTGCTAACAATAAGGTATTGAAAAGGCAGGCAGACCGAGCAGTTGCCTCTGTATTTCCTTAGACTCCTAGTTTATGCTCAGCTACACTTGCTGAAGCAAACCTGTAACAACATAAATGTATGTGTGAAAACAAGACAAAAATCTTCAGCGAAAGGCCAGGCAGAAGTGTTGTCAATAACAAAAAACCAACCAAACAAAAAGGTAGTTTTCAAAAATCCAGTTACTTTACATGAAAGGAAAATAGAACCAGTACTGTAATTGGCTGTATTTTCTGATATGAAGGTATGAAATACTCTCTTCCCCCCCAGAGCTCATAAAATTGTGTGTGCTCTGTGTACCAGATGGATTATTTTGTTTTTCATTAAATAAAGAAACTTGTAAACAGTGCTCTGTACCATAGAGATTATAATCTCCACCATCCCCCTCTTCTTCCTTAAGCCCTGGAGCACGCACTTTGCAGGTTGGATTTGCACCACAGCGGAGTTCTGGTGCTACCCCAAGGTGCTGGTCATTGCAGCTTGGGGGCCAGGCAAGGCATGCTCCCAGCATCTGAGAGCATTTACTGTGTGGGTTCAGTTGTGCTTTTATCAAATCCTATTTCGGAAAACAAATAAAAGTCTTGTTTGCACAGTTTAAATGCCACTCTCTGTGCAACAGCAGCAGTTGGTTGGGTTAGATCTGTGGAGCTGGCACTGGTGCAGGTAAGGCAGAACAGAAAGAGGAGGCTGACTACTAAACTGGCTTTTATGTGGAACATGGCAAAAAGTGTTTTATGAAGGTCACCAGGATAACTACTAGTTTTACCAGTTGGTATATTTAGTAACAATACCATCTCTGCAACTTTCGCATTTGTAAGGTGTAATATGTTAAAAGTTTTGTTGTCATAATTCTAAGTTGAGCCACAATCCTTGACAGTGCTCTTGTAACACCCATGGAGCAGCACACTCCTCACTCCACTATTTCCATGCCTAATCTGTTTGCCTACTATCTTATGCAACTTTTTTTTAATGCGGTTATTTTATCAATAAGTTTATTGAACAGTTTGCAAAAGGAGGTGCTATTATCTTCATTTATATTTCCATTATACTGGAAATTTCAGCCATAGCTGTGGTGCAGTAGCTGCTCATGCAGTATACACGGGCCCTGGTCAGTTTGTACCACTTTCAGGCTGGAGGAAACTGCTTTGGCTGCAAATGCCACTCGCTAATGGTCTTGTGTGTGTTACCATGGGTTTGTAATTAGATGTGGTGAGTGATAAAGTGTGTATTGAGACCAAATATGTTTACTTCTGTTCCATCCACTGGACCTATTGCTCATGTCCTGGTACAAAAAACTTCTCTGGAATTACTGACAAGTTGCATTCTAAAAGCAGAGAATAGCTTAATTTTAAGGTGTACCTGCTTAATAAATCCTGAACTATACTCTGTTTAGGTGAACCCTAGATTAGTATTAGATGCTTTTTCTTGTTTTTCATTCATGTCTTATGTCAGTTAAATGTCGTGGTTTTTCCCTAATCAAGTGTACACATAGCAAGAGTACTGGGGCAGAGTGTTCTTATATTGTTGCTTCATTTTTTTTCCAAATAGTTTTAAAATATTTTTGTAACTCTATTTGTATATTAGCAAAAATAAATTTGAATTATTATCACAAGATCTGCACGCAATTGAATTTTTTTTAAGGACTGAAGATAGCTAATACTGATAAATATTTATGTCACCAAGTGTAATACAGAGACGCTTGCTTGATGTAATCATATAACTTTAAATGAGCTATTTGATGTTCTTTACCATGCCTTGTGAATAAAGTAATCCCTTCTGGATCACAATTTTATTCTTCCTGTCTATGCAGTAACAAGCGACTTGTGGCCTTAGTGCCAAATGACACTTCATTCAACACCAGACGAGCCTACACCAGTGAAGATGAAGCCTGGAAGTCGTATTTGGAGAATCCCCTAACAGCAGCTACCAAGGCTATGATGAGCATAAATGGTGATGAGGACAGTGCTGCTGCTCTTGGCCTATTGTATGACTATTATAAAGTAGGTAATTCTGTCATTATCCCTCCCTGCTGCACTAGCAGGGACCACTCTTAAGAGGCAACAAAACAACCAGTTTTCAAAGACAAAAGTCACTGCATCTTCTTTTCTCTCTAAGGTTCCCATCATATACCCATTATGTTATAGGAAGCCTGTCTGAAACTGTTTTGATGTATTTAATTCTGGAGAGGAAAAAAAACAATCTCAGAATTCCCATATTAAATTTTATACCATGGGGTTTTTTTGAGCATAGTGTTCTTCCTTTGCAAGGATGTTGGATGATACTTGAAATACTTAAGTGTAAAAGGGGAGGCCTTGTCCATCTGTACATTTATCTGCTTTTCTGGTTCATTCCACACATGTTTTAGTTTGCTCTTTAACTGGGGTATCTCTCATCTGACAATTTCCCATGTTATTTTTGTTTGTATAATGATTGCAGTAGGCTGTATACAAACACACAGTGAGGGCTAGCCCTTGCACTGGCAGATTGCAGGACAGAAATGAAGCTGGATGCAGAGCCAGAGATCTAAGTCAGTTTACAGGAAAAGCACTGATGTAGTTTCAATTTGTCATGTTCTAAACCCAGGGCTTTACGTGCAATTTTGGTAACTTTTTTTTTTTAATATATATATATTTCATAGTGTTTAAGTAAAGCTATGTTTGAGATTTTTTGCTGAAATCAGAGGAGAATCCTAGAGAATGCATCTCTGTGTAATGCAAAAATGTAATTTTGAAGCCCATGCTGACCCCTTGGTAGACTGCAAACAGCATCAGTGTTGCCTCCCAAGCACTAGAATGTGATATTCATTTCACTGCAACTATCTCCATACCCCTGAAATCAGCTATGGCTGCCTTGGACAGATGATCTTCTGTGAAAGCCAGTACAGCAATGCCAGGTCCCCTTGTAATTCATGAAGAAGTAACAGGAATGGGAATTAAAAATCTGTTCTTTTAGTATTTATAAGTATAAATGCTTTAATGAATGGACTCCTCTTTTTAATCTCTGTGACATTAATTGAGTGTTCAGGAGAAGGGGTTGTAGGGAAGATGTCATATACCAGCCTTATGGTTAAATATTGTTTTAATTGCTTTGCTGATTGTATTCCTTGTTTTTGTGTGTTGTTGTCAGTAGAGAAAACTGTTCCCAGTGAGAAAGAAAAAAAGGTCCTTTTCTCTGCTTGACATAGTTACCACAGTGCCAGAGTCTTTGAAATTAATATGGATTCATAAAATTCATGATGTCTATGAGCATCTGGAGTATTGGCTTCTGTCTTAGTAATACCTTTGTATGTAGCAGTTCATTAATCTGATGGATTTTTGTAATAAAACCAGAAAATACCCCTTTTCCTTCTCAAAACCATGTTCTAAAAGACATATCTGCTCCTTGTTCCAGGTATTTGCTAAAGACTTGGGGTTCAGATGGAATAAGGTCAGATTAACATCTCAAAACCATTTCCAGCATTCAATCATATCTATTTTTGTCTTAAATAGGGATAAAATGATAAGTCTTGTTGATACTCCCAAGCACAAACTTAAAACTTAACCTCTGTGGTGTAATGGGGAAGTGTAGAGGACTTCCAATGCACGAGACTCTTGAATTGTCCTTATTTATAATCTGGCTCATTAGCTCTAACATGCTGGATAATATTTTTGAATTACTGTGTCCAGTCAATAGGAATTATTAGAATTTAACTGTCTATGTTTTTTTAACTTTTCCTTTTCCTTGTAGTGATATTTACCTAAACCTAGAACATCATTCAGAGAAAAACACATAATCTTAAAAGGGGAATCAGCATATGTAAACTGTGGCTTTTATCCCAGTTCAAAAAGAAATAAAAGAAAATTGTATTTTAGCCAGCAGGATGCTTAATAGGAAAAGGGGATGTTCCTAAAAGAAAGAACAACTCTGGATAGAACTCTGTGACTGTGCTGCTGTCTTGCAGTTATTGTTGATGTTATCATTGGCTACTGGAGTGCACTGTAATACTTTTTTTCCTCTAAAGTCAAATATTTTTCTGATGTTTCTTTAAAATATTTAAAAGTAAAAAGCATGGCTTTAGCCCATTCATAGGTCTATTCTTGCTTTTTAATCCTGAGTTAATTGCTGCAATGGACTGGATATGGCTTGTGCAAAAGATAGATTAGAAGTTTTAGAAGCCAAATTAATGGCTCAGCAAGAAAAGAAAAAATATGGTAAAGACAGAAACTTTTCCCTTGGTGCTTTCATATCTGTGCTGGTGTCAGGACACTGGTGTGTGGGAATTCAAATCTTTAAAGTCACTTGATGTCAATTCTGAGTCTGTCAAGGGGCCAGATTTGACTGGGTTTTTACCTGTCGTAGCTATTGATGCAGTCAGCAAAGCAGAAGTCAGTGTTTCTGATGACATACCAGCATGTCCTGACCTGTCCCCATACTAAGAAAGGGAAAGATCCACAAACTTTCTCCAAGTGTGAGTCCTGCACTCTCCAGGCTTCTCTCTAACAGGAGGGCTTACCTGGTGCTTATGGTTTAATTGAAAAGCCTTTTTTGTCTGAGCTAAAATGGTCTCAGTGCACAGCTCATCAAGGCACGGTATCTTCCTTCTCATCTTGTTTTATTCAGTGAAAAGTGTGTGTGTGTGTTTTTGGAATAATATGAGCTTTGATTTTGAGGTAGCTTGGCCTAGCTTGATATTCAAAAGATATAACATAAAGAAGAGCCCTTTGCTGCTAACTGGTGTGCCCAAGAATTAGAAAAGAAAGCAATTCTTTTTTTTTTTTTTTGGTCTTTGGAAATTTTCTTTCTGTTTACAGTCAGTCACCCAAAGAAAAACAGCTCCGGCATCTGTGAACTAGACAACACTGATAGAGTTACATTTTTCTAGTTGTTGTAGTAGAGCAGTCTGAAGCTGCAAATGCCTGACAGTTGCATTTACCTGACCCCATGCCTGGTGTTGTTCTCAGGTTCCCAGAGATAAAAGGCTGTTGTCTCTTAACAAAGTGAGTGATAATCAAGAAGACCAAGATAAAAGGTACAGTATTATTCAAAATCATACACCCAACTACTGAAAGTGTTGATCAGTTGTGAACTGAAGGAACTGTGAGAGCCTGAGGCGTTGATGGTTTTCTTTCAAAAGTTCAAAGAATGAAGGCTGTTTTGGGAAGTACATTTTACTCCTTTTTACTTTCAATTGATTAGAAAAAATGGATGGTATTCTCATTGGAAGGTAGCTGAGAGTTTCACTCCTTGCTTTTATTTGGTGGTGTTGTTTTGCTGCTTCTGCTGAAATTGGTAAAATCAGATTATCTTGACAGTTGGCTATTGGCTGTTTTTCTTCGTTTTCTTGTTTTAGGGCAAAAAGTGAGTAGTTTGGCCTCAGTAATCTCATTTATAGAGTCTTATTTAACATCATTTAGGATCTACCCAGCAAATAAAGTAACTCTTAAAATCATTTGCTTAGAATGTTTTTCTCACTCCTCAGATTTCAGCTTTTCTCTGTAGGCTAAAAGTGACTTGAGTCAAAGGAAGCTGCCTCCTACTATTAAAAGAAAAGAAAGAGTGTATATTTTTTTAGAATCAAAGAAGTTTTTACATACTGGAAGTATCTCCATATAAAATTATGACAGAGATGAGCTATATAAGGTTTATTTCAATGTAGCTAGTTTGTGACAGCCTTAGATGGTCTCCATTAGCTGTTCATAAGGTGATTGTTTCAATAGGTAGTAGTATAAATTTACTGTTTCAAAATAGGCTATGAACTGGTTTTTGGACAGTTTTTCTTGTGCAAACCAGAGAAATTCCTGATGTTCAGTTCCTAAACTGAGTGTGATTGACAAAATTTGCCTTCAGTGGAAAGCCAAGAGAGAGGAACTGGGCACTGGGTAGTGTCAGAGCATTTCTCCTGGGTTGAAAACAAAGCAATGTTATACCAACTGAAAGTTCTAGGAGTTAACAATTTTATATCAGTGTAACTACTATCAGCAATCAGATTGCTTTCAACAGCAACTGTGGGTAGATGTGGGAATGCTGCTGAGGTTACTTTGCAGCCACTATAGTTACTGATCTACTCTGCTACAATGGAATTCCTGGGCTTGCTCTTTTAGAACAGCATTGCTACCAGAGTTAAGCAAACAGTAGTGGCCTGTCAACAGCCTGGAAGAGCATGCCATCTGCATATGAATTTTGCTGTTGATATTCTGCCTGTTTCATGTGCAAAATATCTACTGTGAGTAATCCATGCCCTGCCTTACTCTTCATTCTTATTTTGTGTCTAAAGGCTGTTGTACTGCTGGATTGATTTTGCATCCAAATTATAAGCTAAGGCAAGAGCAACCCTAAATACCCAGAATTTATTGTAACAAGTCAAATCAAATGTATTATCTTTCCCCATTTGTTAAAGAGCTCTGGACCTCTGCTTGCCTCAGAATTTCTTTTGCCTAGTATTTGTTAATGTATTACTTCTTATGGCAGTGGCTTATCAGAATTGAAAAATCTCCTTCCCTGACATTTAAGACCATTAAGCTATTTAAGGAGGAGATTTCCTCTGTCAGTACAGTTCATAACATATTTTGGTTTTGTCTCACAGAAATTGTCTTAATACCACGGAAGCTCAGAATAACTTAAGTGGGGGCGAGAACCGTGTGCAAGTCCTGAAGACAGTGCCAGTTAACCTTTCCTTGAACCAAGATCCTTTGGATTCATCCAAAAGGGAATACACCACAAATGTGTCTGGGAGCTCGACACCCATCACAGGGTCTGCAGTGACTGTGGTGAAAGCAGAGGAGTTCACCCCTGTTTTTATGACCCCACAAACACACTATGCAAGAGGAGAAAATGAGGAGCACCGAGGTGTTATCTTTGAACCATACGAAGTGTCCAACATTGCTCCCCACACAAATTATCTTAAAGATGATCAGCGCAGTACTCCTGACAGTACCTACAGCGACACCTTCAAAGATGGAGGAACAGAAGTAAGTTTTTCACCTCAAATTAGCATCTAAGAATGCAATAAAAAGCTGTAAACAAGATAAGGATATTTGAGCTTGTAAACAAGATAAGGAGATTTGAACTGTCCACAAGAGCCATTAGAAGAATAGTGATGCTTGTTTCAACAAATTAATTTCTACTCCTTGCTGTGTTTCCATCAGGCTGTGCTCTGATTAAAGGGGAGCATCATGAGGCATTTCAGAAGACAATTACAAAGACGTTTTTTCAAATTTCTGAGAATAATAAACACTGATAATTTTTTTTTGTCTTTGGGGATATTGTGTCAAGTAGAAGATAGTTGTTATTCTGAAAGAAGATTTATTTACCATTAACAAGATCTGCCTTCAGAATAGTAAGAAATAGCCACTTTGTAACAGGGAAATTCTAGATGTTCTTTTGAAAATGCAAATGAGTAGCAACAGCCTCTGCTGCTGGATAAAAACCCAAGTAATTTATTCAGAAGCTGTTTGTTGCACTAAGCTCTATTCTGCAACACAAGCAAGTGAGAAAAGGTAGAAGAATTAGAATAATAGAGGGGAGCAGAGAACTTAACAGACAAGGAACAACTGTGTGTACATGTACAGGAATGAGGAGAAAAAAGGCAAGGAGGGCTCCTTTTAACTATTTTACAGTTATGCTACAATCAAAGTAATTTTACAGTCAGCTTTAGTTTGGTGAGTACCCTCTGGCTGCTTTTGCCTGCTGCAGAATAAGGCAAACAAGCTGGAATTGTAGAAAGGTAAAGACAATTTAAAGCTGACAGTACCTCTGCAAATAATTAGAGATATTAGATGGTAAAACTCCCCTAGGATTTTTATCCTCCCAACTCTACAAAATTGTAAACATAACAAAAGTACAAGGCAAGCTATATTAAGACTGAGCTGCCCTGATTTAGTACATGAGAAATTTGCTGTGTGTTTGTGTAGTATAGAAAAGTCCATTGTCTCCATGAGTGACACAGATCCACGGTGTCTGGAGGTGAAATTTTTTTCAGATAAAGAACGTATGTAGGTCAACTAACTAAATAAATAATGAAGAAATCTAGCTTCCCATTGTAAAATCAGTAGAACCAAACCTTGGATTAGAAACACTGTTCTGCATTATCAAGCAAAATTAGTTTGGCAGTTCTTATGTGTTACTGGTAAATGGCTCTTATGGTACCATACCCATGGCTTTCCCTGTGGTGCTGGAGCAGAGTGATTCCATTCCCTTGATTTGGTCTGGGACATGATGCTGAGAGGTTCCCAAACATCTGCCCTGTGCAGAGAGCTGTCAAACCTGCAAACTTGTTAAATTTGGATGTAAAAAGAAACTTTACACCTACATGTTGGCTTTGCATCCCAAATTTTGTGTTATAGTAACTTTGTTACATGTTTTTTTTTTTAATATGTTGTTACATGTTTTTAAAATGATTGGATAATAACAGGGTGGGTACTTGCCATCTAGGATTTCTGTGCAGTCTGTGGAGAAAGAATCAGTTCAAATCTGCTTGCCAAAAGTGGGTGGAGTGGTTTTCTAAGTGCACTCACTCCTCTCCATCTTCACCTCTGTTATTAATTCTACAAAGGACGCTGGACAATTAACTTTATGTCCCCAGCCTTAGTTGTTAGGAGAGCTGTGTGCCATTGTTGGTGGCCTTCTAGCCCCAAGTGTTCACATGCATGTAACATGGGAGCAGTCAGAGCTTTGCCACCTTGCTGCAGCCTCACTCAGCACCGAGCCTGTCCCTTTGTTTTTCTCACCTGCCCAAACTCCAGAATGTGCTTAGCCTGGCTGTGCTCTGACTGCTCCTCCAGCCACTGTCGTGTAGGCACAGCTGGATGGGGCAAGTGTGGGGAAACCATAAGGCAAAATGTCAAAACATACCAAAAGAAACTTAGGCAAAGTTAGTGTTTAGAAGTAGGAAGGCAATTGTTCTTGCTAGTTTTCATAAGTGCTTGCAAAGTATTTCCTAAGTACTGGTGAGAATGACTGGGTTTGGACTTGGTCTAATACTTACTCAATTTTCAAACACATTATAATACATATTTAGGAATGCTTTCAAAACATTTATGAAGTGACTTAGTTGTATTGTACTGAAGGACTGCTGAGCTTTTATAGATTGCTGTGGTAGTGGACACTTTGGTCAATTGCTTGCTGTGTTCTTTGTTACAATTTTAACAATTATACATATGCTGCTCCAATCTCTTTCATTTTTTTGTTTAGCTGTGCTTAGTTTGTTAGTTCTCTATAGTATAAACAAATTCTTTGAGGTTAGGTACAAAAAAACCATACAACATCATTGTATGTTTTTTACAATGTCAACCTCTTAACTTTTATATAAAATGTGACTAGCTTATTAATATCCACTTTAGTTTTTAGATATTTTGAGTTTTAAAGGGTTGATGTTTTTTTCTGAGTTTATCTTTAAATAAACATAGTTGCACTTTTGTTGGTATTTGCATTTTGATTTTATCAAAGAATATTTAATTGCTCTTATTTTTCAGAAGTATCGGAGTGTGTCAGTGGGGGCTGAAGAATATATTTATGAACAAACAAGGTATGGCATAAGCTTTGCAGTGGGCTGACTGGCATCAGGCAGGAATGTATTGAGGAGTAGCTGCCTGTGTCCACTTCCCACCCTTCCTTTCTTCCCCCTGGGGTATCTGCAAGGCTCCCTTGATGCTGCCAAGCATTATTCCCTTTTTCTCCCATTCATGTTAACTCTTAGATCTGGACAGTTTATATCTTCATCTGTTGCCTTCCCTCAGCATTCTTTTAAACTCATAATCCCTCTGAAGCCCTCCCACCCAAGATATGCAAATGAAAACTGTTGAGAGGTTCCCCAGGTAAAGGAGTATAGCTTTGACAACCAGGTCATGAAAAATCTTTTCAGGATTGCAGAATGCACAAGTCAAATGTCCAGAACAGTTGAAAAGCTTCAAGAAAAAGCTTCAAAAATTAAAGTTTGAAAAGAATACTGTTCTGCCTAAGCACAGAAGAATGTGCATGTAGCATGGGCAAACACTGCAGAATCCCTTTATCTAGGAAAGACTGCAGTCACTAAAGATTTTAAACCGATGCTTTATTTCATACTTATGAAGGGTTCTGTTTATATCTGAGAGATTACTCTCACTTTAGAGTCAGGAACTGCCTATGTAGTTTTTGTGGATTAGGCATATGGCTCTGACTGTGGTGAAGGCTCCTTACAGCTTGATATTTTTCCTGAGGAATGTTAAAACAATCATTAACTGCAGTGAGCTCAGAACTGAATCATTATATAGTCAGAAGATATGAAACTGATATTTAGCAAAGGCTGCTCACTTACTACACTGAACATTTGTAAAATTGACTCCTGAAGCATTGGTATTGTTAACAAATCTCACACATTTATGTCTTTCATGCTATGGCCCAGGTTACATTAAGAATGAAACCTCTGAATGCACATTAAGAAAACTCCCAGGAAAGATGTATTTAGTTTACCTGGAAGTGGAAGGCTCAGAAATGAGAATTTCAGATTGAAAAAAGAAGTGGTGAATATGCAAGTAATTGGAATCTTGCTAGAAGATCTTTTAGTGACTACAGAGGGGTTTAGTTGAGACTCATGGTAAGGTTCATTACAGTATTACAATAATTGAGTGACTGCAATAAGTTTTAAGAGTGAGAGTAATCCTCCTGCTATAGGGCATGCTTTGCTTGCCAACTGAAAACAAGAAGAAAATTCTGAAATGGCACTACACAGAGGCTCCAAAACTGGCCAAGTGCAATGTGTCTGGGATTTATGTTTTTTGACTGAAACATACAGAATGCCAAGGAACAGAAGACCAGCCTGTGGCAGACTGCAGGCAGTTCTGTTAAGACATTGTGTGTGTGTCTGACTTTGATCATTCTAAGCCCTTCTCAGCACACATCACTGTTAGTTCTTTTGTCTGGTGTGAGGTTTTGAGGCACATCTCCCAGGACACTCACTGTGCTTTGATGTGTGTCATTAAGGGGTCTTGAGCACAAAATCTGCAGTCCTTACATGTGATGCTAAATCAAGGCTGTGCCCCTATCTCTCGTGGGTGGTCCATCTATAGGACAAGTGGTGCAGCAGGAGGGATGCTGGTTCTGCAGCACTGCTGGTGTAGCTCTTCCAGTCCACTCAGATGGGTCCACACTTGCCAGTGTTGGCAGTGCCTCTGTTCCCTTGCACAGAGGACAGGGGCAGTGCCTTCCTGCTGCATGGAAGAGCCTTCATGGTGGCCCCAGCTGCCCTGTGTGGAAGCACCAGTGCTGCCATCGATGGGTTGGATAGGTATAGATGAGTGTTTGCTTATTACCTTAGTTTTGCTTTGACTTGTAACTTTTAAGCAACTAGAAAAATGGCTGGACTTCAATTTATAAGCTAAGAAGGACTTATAAGTTGTCTTCATTTGATTGAATGATTGCAACTAAACTGAATAATTGATACTAAGCTGTCTGAACCTCCTTTTGGATGGAAAGACTGGGTCTGTTGGGTTTTTTCTACCTTCTCTTCAAGTGGGGATTTAAATGTAATTATTAGTTACGTGTTTTGTTGTGGGTTTTTTTCCTGTTGGATAGTTAAAATATCTTTTGTTTTCCCTTTATTTCTATATCGCTATGGCAGCGATGATCATCACTATGATGATCTAGAGTATTTGCTTGAATTAGAAAGTTAGGGATACACTGTTGTTTTGGACCAACATATTCCTCCTTTTGGTCCTGCTCTGGCACTGCTTAAATACTTTTCTGAATTAGAACCTTTGTGAAAATGCTTCCACTGTATCTCTAGTTCATGAGTACTTTGTATTAAGGTTCCTATGCAGTTTGAAAAAATTTTTTTTACAAGATCAGCATTATTTTAATGTAAGAGAATGTGAGGAGCTGCAGGCATCGTTTTTATTGGATTATTGTTCAAGCCCATTATTGGAGGTTGTGGCTGAAGAGGCTCAGTGAGAATTGTTTCCAAATAACAGTTCACTAGTTCATGGAGCCTTAACTTTTCATGGTTTGAGAAGTGCTTTGAAGTTCGAAAGTTCTTCTATGAAGGAGGGTCTTTTTAAAATCTAAAATTTCAACACAAGAGCTGTTTTTTGCCTGACATTTTTCTAAAGGGAGGTTACTTGATTGAAGATAAAGTTAAATGTAGGCATTTCATTCAGTGTGACTAATTTTGAAAAGAAAGCTTATAAAAACCTTGATTTGCTGTCTTTAAACAAATGAACTTACTGTCCATTCTCTTTGTATTCCTTCTTTGAACTGTGCTGAAAGTAGCAGTTGGACTTTCCATTCTTTCATGTTCATCTTTTGCAATATCTTTCATTTTATTCTGGTTGGGTTTTAAAAAAAGCTATTTATTTATTTATTTATTTATTTCTCTTTCTGCAACTTTCTTCTAAGTTTAAATGTCTGTGGAGTTGATGATTTTCTGCAAATCATACTGAATCCCCTCTTGGTAATGGACACTGTCAGTGTGAGGTACACAGTCTCATAATTCATAATGGTTCCTTTCAGAGATAGTACCTTTGATCCAAGAAACTTACAGTCCAGATAGTTTTACGCTTGATTGCGGGATCTGATGAAGTCAAAAAAAAGAAAATTGCAATTTTAAATTGCTATGTCACAGTTGCCTGGAATTTTGTTATTAGCTTCTTATGCCTTATTCAATGCAATAATTACATAATAAAAAAGGAGAAAGTGATATGGATTTTGTGGGTGTTTCTCTCTTTTCAGCAGCACTTTTCAATACACACTAGAAGCTACCAAGTCTCTGCGTCAGAAGCAAGGGGAAGGGCCCATGACCTACTTGAACAAAGGACAGTTCTACGCCATCACCCTGAGCGAGACGGGTGACAACAAATGCTTCCGGCATCCCATCAGCAAAGTCAGGGTATGGACCCATTTCTTTCCTAGATGGAAATGTAGCTCTGCAGATAGATGTGGTTGTGGTTGATTGGCTTTTAATTTAATTTTTTTTGGCGGGGGGAGGAAGGACAGAGATAACACCTTATTGATGGTAACAAATGTTTTGATGTCCAGTTTTTTCAGTGTGTGATCTTATGAGTTAATGATAGCCTCGGTTTATGGTTTGGCAGAATGGTGGTTACACAGACACTACACTTAACACTGGTGAACTTATTGCTATGAATAAAGCAAAGAAGTCCAAGATCTGCCACATGTACTTTGTGTAGTCCATCTTTACTTACTGGTGCACTTCATCAGCTGCTTTCCAGTGCATTTCAGAGAAAACATGAAGAGTTGAATCCATCCTTTGTGACATAAATTTTAAATAATTTTCATTGTCTCTAAGTGTGAGCTTTCACTTGACATTCACACAGAAATGTAACAAAATAAATTATTTGCATCTTAGATTCTATGCATAGAACTGTAGCTTGTGTATTCAGCAACATCTACCTGGTAAACGAACCTCCTCATTTCCTTGGTAATGCTTTTGAGTTGATGAATCCTAACCCAGTAACTTTGGAATGAACAATGAGCCCTGTAAATTTTACCTTGAAGCTGTCAGGGCTGCAAATGTATGAGGCCACAAAAATGTTTACATCCAAATACATGAAGTTCTCTAAAAATGTTGTGACTTTAGTTAAAGGAAGCAATGAAAGTCAATGTGAGCAGTGAAGCAAACAACAACCTATATGTTTCTATCATACATGAAGTTTAGAGAGACTCTTCCTAAACAGAGGCAATGATTTGGAAACCTGAATTAGCAGTTAATTTTTAGCCTGGTTTCCCTGGGACAGGAGGCTGTTGGCTGAATCCGATGTAAGACTGCTCTGTTGCTGTACAATCTCTTTCGCTGCCACCCATTCCTTCCCATTTTGTGGTTCCAGCTCTAGCACTTCTAGAGCTGAAACAGGAGTCAGGAGGTCACTGCTCTGACTGAAAACCAGCCCTCATATACCTGGTTCAGTGCACTGCCACACGAGTTTTGAAGCTGTGGCAGCAGAAGGGTGGAAATTATAAAGGAGAGGTGAGATCGCATCCTTCTGGAGGATGTAGTTGACAGAAGATTGTGAAACTGTGCAGCTTTCACAATCATGTTCTGTTTGCCAGGGCTCTACTCAAGTGACTGTTGAATTTATTGCCAATTCCATCCAAAGCTAACAGAGGGGCAAGAGGTTTTGAAGGTATTAAACCTCTACAAGTTCCCTGTAAGTGGTTCATAAAAACATTAGTGCTGTCCTTGGTGGAAAAGCCAGTCTGCATGGCCAGTTCTGGTTAGCAGTCAGCTGGCCAGCCACACACACCTGGTGCCCAGCCAGTATATACAGGCATAACCCAGGACTCCTCCATGGTGTGTACTGCCTCGTGCCACGGAGACAAAGAGGTGGTGATGGTGGTCACCTTTTATAGGTGGAATGCAGAAGGTCACAGAGTGCATGAAGGATTGTGATGGTGGTTTGTGGAGGGACACAGATGATGAATCAATTGTAATCTACCTCCTTGGCTTATAAAGCAGCTTAATAGTGATTTTTTTGTGCCTACTGTCTCAGGATGAAAATGAACATTCAGAAGTGAAGTTTTTTTTCTCTGGTTTATTTTCACTTAATTTTAATTGGTATGATCATTCTTCCATTGTTCTGTGTTGTTTCGCTTGCCTACAGCAGGGCTTATTCAAAAAGCCTGTATTGCTTGTGTAAAATTTTGCATAAAAATTCAATCTGTTTCCTTTAAATGACAGTTTAAAAAAGTGAATTCAGAATGTGAATTGAAAACCTCAGCAAAGTTCAGTTACACTGAATTTGTCATTAAACACATATGTACAAGAGTCCTGCTCCCAAAAATGGTATTTGTGTACACTAAATTGAAAATATCTTGCCTTTAGCCAGTGAAGGTGACTTTTTAAAACTATGAATATGCTTAATTTTTATTTGGACTATCAAGAACATAATCCTGGGCCTTGCATTATTTTACAACTACATTTCTTTTGTCCTGAGTTTTTAAGTGCACTGTAGTGCTGGACTGATTAAAACCCAGTCTTCTTCATCAAAGTACATGAGAGTGGCTAGATCAGAATTAGAGGCATGTGGAGATTTTAATTTTTGTGTTCCTGACTATTAATTATTTTAACTAATGTGGCTCTGGTATTGTTTTTCATAGAGTGTGGTCATGGTTGTTTTCAGTGAGGATAAAAACAGAGATGAACAGCTGAAATATTGGAAGTACTGGCATTCCCGGCAGCACACAGCTAAACAGAGAGTCCTTGACATTGGTGAGTGTAACAACATCTCCAGATGTTTCAGGGAAGATTTCAGATATGGAAAGCTCTGGTGCCTTGCACAGGAATATGGTGGAATATATTGGCAATGACTTCTTGGCTTGAACCAGAGTTTTTAGCAATGGCTCATTGCTGATAGGACTGTGGGGTCTATGGAGCTGGGTAGACACCATGCAGAAAGAATGGTTCTCAGTATTTACACAGAGGAGCTTCCCCTTGCATGTGTATTTAGTGGTGTACCTCTATCTGGGAAATCAAGGTCTGCACCTCCTCAGGTGTGGCAGAGTATCTGTTCCCTTTATTTTTTCAAAGGGTGATCCAGTCTTTGATCCAGCAACAGTTATGTTAGCCAATTGATGTGGAATTGCAGCCTGAGAGTGCAGATGTCATCATTGTGGTGTCTGCAAAGGAGTGTGCAGGATTCCTCCACCCCTGGAGTGAGTCAGTGTCAGCAGTGAGGGAGAGGCGAGCTCTGGTGTGCTATCCCGAGAGACCTGTTTATCGTTCATCCCATCTAAAGTATCTACTAGCCCATTTGAGCCTCAGCTGTCCTATCTGCATGCTCGGGAGGTTTTAGCAGAGGAAGAACACGTACTTGCTGCCAAGGAGCCTGAAGTTGAAGTCAGTGGCAGTGTCTAGACATCAAGCGTTTCTCCCCTCCCACGTGCAGTTTACACATGCACCCATCTGCACGGATTCCAGTCAAAGGAGTCGGCAAGACCAAAGCAGGCAAAGTCTATCTTGTTTTGACCGCCTGAGGGAACCAAACCATTGAATGGCAGGAATGAGAAGGGGCAGAGAGGGGGGCTAAACCAAAGTAGGGTTACTTGTAGAGAACATTCTGACACTTCAGGGGACGATTGAACTGGGTGATCAGGGAATCTGTCCCCAAGCGGTCCTAATCACTGTGCTGCCTGTAGATTTTCAAATGCTGTAGTTTCTACTGAGGCCTGGTGTTATTTAAGGTCAAGTGTATTTTCTCCAAGCAGCTCTTCCAGAGTATCCTCACTGCCTCTTGTCTTTTCATCATTTTTCTGGCTGAACTGTTTCATGAACTTCATTCTTTTCTCCCTTGCCCCCATTTTCTTGTCCATTGGGGTACCTAACTCAATAAAACCACCACCCCAGAACAAATTACTTTTATCATGACACCTTAAAAGAAGAAATAGGCCACTTCACAGCTCTTTCTGAAGACTGCCTGGTTTTTTTTGTGCTAGTCCATACAAGCTCGTGGTAGTAGTGCTCACACCTTTGAAAAGTATGTGCTGAGCAGCTCGCTCCACTGTAGTGCCAGCACGCTCTGACTCCACTGCAGTTGTGGTGTCCTGGCACATTTCAGTTGCCTTACCCCAACAAGTTAACTTACGATACATATTCTGAAAAATAGTGCTCTGCAAAATAAGTGCTGTGCATGAGCTGTATGTTTACCTGTGTTAAAGTGAATGTCTTTTAATTTTTCATTAGTTTGAGGTGAAATAGCCCTGCTCTGACTTTTGAGGCACTTGTGAATACTGAGGTGCATATTCTTTATTTGCGCTGCAAACACAAGCAAGGCACAATGTAGTAAGACTTACTGATATAGCCCTTCTTGTCAGATATAAGAGCTGTAAGAGCATGGTTCACCTCAGTTTTCAGCAAAAAAGAGACCTAAATGTTGCTCGGTAGTGTTTTCTTGAGAACAACTGAAATATAGCCTTACCTCTTACAAGTATGGTGTTTCTGAAGTACATTTCATTTTCTTTGGCACGGTTAATTGGCTTGTTAGGCCAGAGTGGCTCCCAAGTATCAAAACTGCATTTAGCAAAATCTTCTAGTTTTACCATCAAATTATCTAACTGAATAACGTAATCCAAATTTGAAGCTGGCCCTGCTTGAACCAGATAGCCTCCAGGGGTCCCTTCGATGCAAAAATTATTTTGAATGACTCTATGAAGATTTCTCTTTACGTTAAAAATTCAGATCCCTGAAGGGATCCTCTCAATACTTTGAGTTAATGTCCAGGCCCTGTATAAAAAGAAAATTAAGTGTCCAAAACTCCGCATCACCTCTTCCATAGATGTTACTCTTAATTTGATGTGTGTAGAATCTGTGAATCCTTTCTAATTGTTTATGAATGCACTTTTAATCTAGACCATGATCCTTAGCAGGCAGAGGATCAAATTGATTTGGGATGCTCCAGTTCCAGCTGTTCAGATCTCAGATGGACACGGGGACTATGCTTGTGCAGCTTTCCATTGTGGAAGGGATCTGTCTGTCTGCTTTCTGCCCTGCAGTTATATTCTGGACATCAGAGGGAATAGTGACTGGCTCCTTCACTCCAGACAAACAGGGGTCACTGCTTTAATTTGTTTTGTGTGCTGGCTGGTGCACCTCCTAGGAGGAAGGATGCTTCAGTGGATTAGGTGCAGTGACAAGTCTGAAGATGTGTTGATATTAATAAAGACAAACATGTACTTACATGTATTCAAGTCCTTAGTGCTTGAGGAATAAACCTGAGGGCTTGACACTTATTAAGCAAGAAGGTAAGATATTTTCCAAAATTTAGACTATGTACTGTAATGGATTTTTCTGAAGAAGGAGTAAGGTGCATGTTTGCTTTTTGTAGGAGGAATAAAGTGGGCAGGGGGAAAACAGCTTTATTTTCATAGTGCTGTGACACTGGATCACTAACTTTTTCTTTTAAAATAATTGTAATGTAAAGAATACAATACTTAATTGCAGTGAATATTGATTATTCAGAATAAGTACAATAATATGACATACTAGAACAGGTTCAAATATGAAGTGTGGGTGTGGAAGCTTTGTGCTCCATAGAAACTTGCCCTTGTTTTTTTCAGGATAGTTTGTATTATTTATGTGCACAATACAAAAGTATGCAATGACATGTAATGCATGATTAATGTTTAACATTAAAAATTTGCCATTGTTTTATATGCAATTTATGTAACAAAAGAGGAAATAACTCCTGTGCAACCATTTTTTGCTTATTGAACACGCTGATTTTCTCTTTCTGGTAACTCACAGCAGGAGAAGTGGAAAAGTTGTAGTCACTCTAACAGCTTTCAAATATTCTGAAGTGTAAACAGTTTCTTAATCAACTGAGGATCGTTCTTTAATTGGATGTAAATTGAGGGGAATAGGATGCACTTCTGCTTTTTGACAGTGTCACAAATCCATGAGATTTGTGTATAGCAATTAAAGGACAGGCATGTGTTGAGAGAAAGGAAGGGTTGGTGGGTTGTGAGGTTCTGACAGCCTTTTAAGACAAGAAAACAGGTGTCTTTACAAGACATCTTGTTCATGTCTTTCCAAAGAGCACCTACACAGCACGCCCATATGCAGCAGTCAGTTGCACGAGGCACTTTCTGGTGAATCATAAATTTAAGAGGTGGGCGGATGTGTGCACATGCATATTAAACTACTTATGTGTCTTCTAATTCCTCTCATTTGCATCCCTACACTGAATTTCGAGAGTGAAGCCAATGACTTCAGTTAAAAGGGAGATCTGAGTACAAGGTGGGAATGAAAAGCCTGCCTGCCCTCTCAAACACTTTGCTAATTTGCTACATCACCAAATATCTTGTGCTGTTCTTATGGTCTAAAGTGGTTTTTTTTACTGTATCTAAAATCATTAATGGATCCCAGGAACACAATTTTATTTGCCCAGTGAGATGCCAGCATTCTTGTGTTTCAAATGAGAGAAAAGTATACTGGTTGCCAGTTTCAAACATGAAGTAATTATTCTTGTAGCAATGTTTTTTGTTATAAATTATTTTAAAACAGTTATTATCTAGAAATTATATTTTAGAGATCAACAGTTTAGGCAAAGGGAGTGAATATTGGAATCATTTGTGTGTCCCACAAAATACAAAAACGCCCTCTTTCTATAACTGATTACAAAGCTAAGAATCAGCATGCCTCTGAAGCACGGATTTGGGCAAACTTTAGATCAGGAGTGTAATCTCAGCCCTCTGGCACTGAGTCCAATTACAGCCCTCGAGGAATTCTTAGGAAATGTTTGTCCCAAGGAGAGTTATTCCATTAGTGTGAACGATCTGGAAGTTCCTTTAATTAAGCAGCTATTACCTGGTATCTCTCTTGATCTGTCATCAAAAAGAATAAAAGGTGTTAAACTGTCCAGCAAAGTGAGAGAAAAGCAGTGCTTGTTCTTTTTTTCAATTATAAAGAGGACTTGGGAGTCGTCTGTTTTATATAGTTTTCCAGCCTTACTGTTTTGGGAGAGGATTAGTAAACTTTGAAATCTTCCTCCCTTTTGCTTTTCATTCCTTCCAAAATGCTAGTTTATTGATGATAATAATAACAACACGTGGGGAAGAAGTGAGAAGAAGGTGCAGATATTGTAGTCAGACAAATAATTTTTTTTTTCTTCGTTTACTGTTTTAGTGATGCACATACTTTGGAAAAAGGATCTTTGTGGTTTTGGTTCTTTGTGGGGGATTTGTGATGGTTTGGAGTTTTGTGGGTTTTTTAATTTTGTTTTTAATAATATATAAATATTAATCCAGCATCCAGCGCAAAAGTTGGAATGCACACTGATGATTTCCTCCAGTCATAGCTCTTAGACTTTTAGAAAGCTTCTTTAGGATTTACCATGTGTTTTCTTAATATCAAGGTTTGAACACTCCCTTAAAATGCTTCAATAGTTTTCAGTTAATTTTCCAGTTTTGGCCGTTCCTTGGCCAAGCTAATGAATGCAATGACTCATTGCCAGTAGAGTCACACTCCTTTTTGAGAGCCAACAATATTTTGCAAGAACATTAGCTAGTGATATACTATGCTTAAGACTCAGGTTGCATTATATTACCTCTTTGTAATAAAGGTTATTCATAATTAATCATAAACAATACAAGAGGTGGTTTTGATGCACTAGACAACCCAGCTTAAGAAGCAAAGAAGCACTATGAGTTGTAAAACAGTTCAGGTTTTTTCATGACTCTTGTTTTTTCTTTCAGCTGATTACAAGGAGAGTTTTAATACCATTGGGAATATTGAAGAAATTGCATTCAATGCTGTGTCCTTTACTTGGGATGTCAATGAGGAGGCAAAGGTGAGGAAAAGCCGTGCAGACGGCATCCATTTATAAGTACCACCCACCGTTAGGCACTGTTCCACTTCCCTCCTTTCTGAGAAATAAGAGGGCTTGTTGGTAGGTCCCAGCCTGAGAAACAGTAAAAGACTTTTTTCCTATTTGCAAAGCCTGGTATAAGACACAAGCTGTCTCTTTTCTTTCTCCAAATTGTCAACTAACTTTCTACTCTCTCAGCATCTCCAATAATCCGTATTCTGTAAGTTAGACTATGCCTTCCCTTGTGTTGGTGCCATTTATTTTATATTGTTACGCAGACCATCTTTGCAGTTTGGAATGAATGTATTTTTGAGGACTGAGACGTTTTTCTGTTTGGTTTTTTTTTCTTTTCTTTTCCCTTTTTTAATGGTCAGGTACCCTCAGGCATGGGGTTTTCATTCAGGAATGTGACTCTTAAGTGGACCTATAAACCAGGACATCAGAACACCTTAACTAGTTTCTTACAGATAAGGTTGTACAAAGGCTCTTAGAGTGCTTCAACTGCATAGACTAGTGTGGGAGAAATGAAAAACTGCCGGTAATTATAGGAAGAAGTTGGCCCCCGGAAAGCAAACAACAAGGGAAATAGGCTGTGTAAAATGAGTGAGGGTAATGCAGTACTCTTGGGGATGTAGTTAATAAACAGCAAACACTGAGCTCGGCAAACTCCTGATAGCGTTTTCATGTTGAACACAAAATGTCCAGGGCATAAGTAGAGCTGTGAATCTTTCAAATACAAAGACCTCTTCATGCACAATTGCCCACTGCATTTCCAGCAGCATTAGAGAGGTTGCATCCTCAGAGTGAGTCCTCTGAGAACTTTACTGAACACTGAGTGGTAGCATTAACGCCCACTGTCCTGACTCCTGACTGAAAGTACTGACTGTTTATAGTAACAGGGATTTAATCTCTGATGCGCATCTTAAAAGGAAAGACAATAGTTCTGAAAATCACCCAGCTCTTTCAAAAGCAGGCGTTGATAAACAGAGTTGTACTTGGCCCACTTGCTAATGGTGCTGTATTTACTCATGTAGTGATTACATTTTCAACGGCCCAGATATTTCCCTATTATGTGTTTCCATTTCAAAATACAGTAGGTTGTCCTCTGCAGTCACAACAGGCGACTGGTGTGTGTGTGTGTGATCACTGTGCAAGCAAACACCGATTTGGGATCTCCAACGCATCAGTCCTCCTCGAGGACCTTTGCAGAAGCACTACCAGGGCTAGAACCTGGCAGTCTTGTCCCCGGGCTGGCAGATCTCTAAGACATTTGCATTTGCAGCTCCAAGCCAGACTTAGCAAGACACCCATGTTGATCTAGGAACAAGGAAGTCACATCCATTAATGTCAGGTATTAACCTCAGACGTTTTTTCCTAATCTCACACCATTCACCTGGCTCTTGCCTTGGGTGCCAGAACATTATAAACACAACTTTTGCAATGATCACTGGAAACAAAACAAGCTGAGATTTTCAAGTAAAGACTCCGTCTGGATTAAAAAAGTGCTAAGAGTGAAATTCAAGCTGCTTGTATTTCTGCAGGAAATAGTGATTAAAATGCAAATTGGCTTATGCATATTTATTTTGAGGTATTAAATATCTGATCTTTTAGGAGCTTGAACTGTAAATGTATTGATAAAAGAGGATTTATAACATGCTTTAGTGTTTGGCAATCAGATTGTACGTGAAAGCTTATCACCTTGTCTGCACTCCAGTGTTTCCCTCCCCACACACACACATGTATGTGTACATGCTTGCTCCTGTTGGGAAGTTTGATACAATAACTGCTTGCACTGGGTCTGGGGATTCCCATAGGATGTTGGAAAGCTGTGGGTGCTAAGGCACCTCACTGAAGGCTGTTTTTTCTCCAGCAATTACCTCATCCATGGGAGATGAAGAATAATTACAGACTCCCTTTTCCTAAGCTTTTTGAATTATGATCTTTCAACTGCCTCCATTGTTTCTGTTTGGTATTATTTTCTATTTTCACCACAATTTCAAGATTAAAACTTAACCCCCTCAGAGGCACAAAAGCCTTTCTTTTTTATCAAGTCAGATAAAAGTGGCACACAACGGTTCTTTTCAGGGCCTCTGAGTTGGGATATGATGAGGCACTCTACTGGCCCTGGAAGAAGCAAAGAAATACTTCTTGTTGAAAGTGCACTGGGGAGTGATGTGGAAAATCAAACATAACTAGTAGAAATCACCTAACCAAATAGAACTCCCTCTCCTGGGAAACTAAACCCCACATTTAGAAGAGCTATCTTGAGCAGCAGGTTTCTCACTTTCCTACTCCACCTGGATGGCAGCTAATTTAAAGCCATGGTTCTCCTCATTTGAAGTCAGACTTTTCCTCTCACACACAGACAGAGCAGGCCTTCCCCTCGCAGCCCTGCAGGATGAGGGTATAGGAGAATGGTGTGGCAGTCAGAATCTGCCAGCTACCAGTGAGCCTGCTAAGGGCTGGTAGGGCAGCATTTCATTCTGGGTCTTAGTGGGATAAACAGGAATGCAGAAGGTACAGGCAGAGGCCTCTCTGTGTTGCCCCAGTAATGCCAGTGGAACTGGGCTGTTGGCTCCAGTTCACCATGCTTGGTGTGTCATCTTCCAACTGCTGCTTGGCAGAACAAGAATCTTGTACAGTGCATGTCAAGAGGTGGAATTATCACACTGTTGCTTTCTGTGATCTAAGGAAACAGCACCGAAGTCAGGAGCACCACTCTGCTAGTGTTCTCTCCGCTGTGTCTGGTTGACAGCAGCAGTTCCCTTGCCTCTGGCAGAGGAGAGTTAGTCCTGGCACATCCTTACCCTTTTCTAGAACAGCATCCCTTTCTGCTGGGGCTCTTATCTAGAGGTCACTGTGGGGCTTGTGTCTCAGAGCAGGATCCAGGGAAATGAGGGGAAGGCTCTATAGCCATGTCAAGCTCAGTGCTTTCTTAAAACAAAAATATTGCTGTAAGGGAGCAGGGGTAGGAAGAGAAGAACAGTTTTGTACAATCCATCTTTGTTTCCCTCCCATATTTAATTCTGTTATAAATATGTAATGTTTATGGGTAAGGTGATTTGTTGTCTCCCTTTAGTTGAACCCAAATGCTATGTTTGGTATTTTTAAAGGAGTTATTTAAAAAAAGATGAAGAAACAAACAACAATTAACAACTGGCTGACATTTTAACTGTCTTTTGAAAGTGTCCTTATAATATGCTAGAAGCTATGTAGTTGCCTTGCTGTTGCCCTGTAGATGATTTTGCTGCAGCATCTGGCAAGGGGACAAAGTTCTAGTGGAGGCTCTTGAACAGAATCAGCTTCATTTCTGATAGACATTCATTTGTCTGCTTGCAGTGTTAGGGCTGACAGAAGTTAGTTTGTAAGAAAGATGGTTAAAGAGACAGAATTGTCTTGGTCAAAGGATAATATATTTGTCATAAACCATACCACCTCCTTGAGATATGACTTCTCTCTGGTAGGTGCTTGGAGCATTTAAATTGGCTGTGACAGTGTTACTTCTTGAAACAATTGCATATTTTTATGGAAAGTATTTTTTAGCCTAAAAATCAAAGATATTACTTCAGTGAGCAGTTGCTAACAAAATATGACACCTTAAAGAGACAAACAGTTTTCAGTGATATCAAGAGATCACAGATTTCTGCTAAGCACTGCAACTTGGACATGCAATAAACAGACATGTTTGTGGCTGTGTTATTCAGGCAGGTGCTGGCAGATGAGTGAGATGATTTCAGTGAGTGCAGAGTTGTGTGCTGAGCAGTTGTTGTGTATACTTGCGTGCAATAACTGCCCTGCTATATTTAACTGAAATGTAGATCTTTAATCCAAAGTATGCTGAAGCCTCTGGGAACCTTTCCAGTTATTTAATGAGTTTTGGCATGGCTCATACAGTAATAAGCTGTTTTCAAAGAGTGACTGATTTGCCAGATTAGGTTCTTGGATATTGTGGGCCAAAGTGAGCTCCAATTCCAGTGGGTACAATGGTAAAATCAAGTTTATAGAACAGCATTGTCTCTAGCAGTAATTTGTGTTGTGGCAATCCATATTTCTTAAACATTGTTAGTGATACTTAGGCCAGGCTTTGACTAGGATAAGATTTTTTTTTTCCTTAATCGTGACTTTCCTTTTCAAGTTACATCAATTTAATTGGGAAGGAAATTAATGTCTTCTCTACTCTAAAAATGTAGAGGTTGAAAGAAAAGATGCTTCATTTTGGGGAGTTAGTAGCAGAAATTATGTAGGATTAGACTTGGCAGCTACTTTAATAAACCATGTCTGTGTGTGCAAGTGTGCATATATATATATGAGTGTATATATAGATGTGAGACATGCACACACACACGTGTATATATTAGAGAAGAGTTAACCTGTGGTAGCGCATAATGTTGAAATTCAGTGTATACAAATAGCTTGGTAAGTATGCATCTGGGATTCAAAGCAAATGGCATTTTTATGTAGTTGCCGGGGTGTGGTGTGGGTTGAGGAAGCTTCAAAAGAGTAGTGTAAACATTTGCTGGAGACATTTGTATTGAAATAAAACAAAGGTCTTACCTTTGTGTGGGATTTATAAGGTAACGGCTGGTAGGAGAAACTATAAACCCACACTTTCTGTGTGTGTGAGGAATGATGGGATTGATGTTAGTCATTTGAGAGACGAGTCAGTTAACTCTTTGTTGTTAGGGTCTGGAGGGAGGAACCTTTTAAAGCAGACTTTTAAGAGACCCATCACCAGGGTTCTATGTATTGCCAGTACTCAGTAGAGAAATTGCTTTAAGTTTATAATTTTGTGCCTCCCTTCTGCCCTTGGCAGTTTCTGAGACAATGGGAGCCAGAAATGTAAATAGTAATAAAAGGCTTATATTAGAAGTTTCATAGCTGTAGACCTTTAGTGTATAAGCTGAGAGACCGCAGCAAGAGTCATGTTGGCTGAATTAAATGATAGAAAGGGAAATGCACTTCTGAGCCTTGCTTTCCCTTAAGGCAGCTTACTGTGTTTGTGTCTTGTACATCCCTAATTATGCTGCAGTATTTAACAAACAGTAATTCTTATAATAGCAGCTACACCGTGGAGGAGTAGTCCCCAAAAGACAGAGTGCTTTTTCTAGACGTGATCTATAACAAATAGAAGAGCTGTTGTTATCTTGGGCCACTTGTGAAACTTTCTCAGCACCAAATGTTTCTCTAAATTAGTATTTAATTGCTAATGGCATGCCTGAGCTGGAGACTAGATGGGTGGAACTCTGCCATTAATTGCTCTAATCTAAGATATGCTGACATTAAAAAAAAAGACATCACTATAATGACAATTATACAACATGTTCCAGATAGCAAAACATTGCTAAAATCCAGTTTGCACAGGAGAAAAAAGTTGTGTCTGAATTTGGGTACAATCATACTAACTTTTATTAATACAATTCTAAGACAAGTGTAGACAGGGATTAGGAGGGAGACAGTGATTTCTCTTCCTGCTACTGTAATTTCTACTTAACTCTACATTTTCTAACCATGTTAACTCTACTATGCAAAATACCACAGCAAAGGAGATCTTAAATCTGGATATCTTCTAAGAAAAGTGGAATAGCTCTCCATTTTGTGGCTGCCCATGGAGCTGTTTTGCCCCTTGTCTCATCAAGAGTGGGAGTGCATGCATTATGGACAGGAGCTGGAAAGAGGGGGAAGATGAGAGTTGCAAAGGGCAAAGCAGGATGTGTTTGGACAAATGGCTGAAATCAGTGCTGCTCAGAGCAGGTCACTGCTTTGGGAAGGTGGTTTCTGGTTAGACCAGGGGAGAGAGAAGGGGACTGTTCAGATGTTTCTTCAGGTCCTCTTCACCATAGTAGCCTGCTGCACTGGTGCAAATCTTCAGTCATGCAAAGAAGAAGCTCCCTAAAATAAAAACAGAAGTTATGCCCTCTTTCCTTTCACTCTATACACCCCTGTGTTTTCCAAATCCAAAGTCAGTGTGGTGCTTTACAGGAAAGCTAATAGAACATTGCATGGAGACAGTAAATTTCCCCACAATCAATGATCTGTGTTAATTCAAATCCATCTGTCTGTCTGTGAGGTGCAAATGATATGACAGAAAGTGTAGTACACTTCATGTGCATGAATGTACAGTCATTGCTCCTCAGAGAGATCCTGATGTATTACAGTGTCAGGACAAGATATTGAGTCTTACAGCATCTATCTATTATTCATGCTGAATAATCTGTTATTGCTGTGGGGAGACTCTTGAAAGCATAAAGTCTGTCTTCCCCAGCCGTTCCTACTCTGCTCTGTGATTGTGGAGGTAGTGGAAGAGATGACACAGTGTATGTAGTTGATTAAGGTGGGACAAGATCTTTTTTGCTTCTCAGCTGAGTGTGCAGCAAGGGTGGAAGAAGTACAAACTGCTAGATAGATGCAAAGCCTGCATGTCTTCTCACATTTGAATGTACATTTTGGAAAATCTGTGCAGAAGTATGGGCTAAAATATAGGGAGACCAGATTCTGTTTTATGCTAGGCTTCCTTCCACTACTGTGTGTTCACACACACTTTAAACCATTGCCCCGACACTATAAATTATTCTGAAGGCAAATGAAAATTCAGGCTGTTGTATTTCAGAGGGTATTCACTGTCTACACTTATCTTTGGGGCTGGAGGAGATCAACTTGTAATTTGAAACAGAAATAACACTATCAGCTTCAAAATCAGAGTTTCACCTAGGGCCTTTCCCTGCCTCACTCTTCTCTCGGCAGTTAAAGTTCAACTATTTCATTTGTAAATGCAGCTCTGCGATACAATCAGAAGCAGAGAGGAGGGGCCATTAGCTCAGTCAGGCAAACAAGCTGCTCTGGCTCCATCATAAAGACCCTGACTGTAATGTTAACTTCTGCCAGGAGGGTAAAGTATCCCCCACCAGCCCTGCTGGAGCCCTTCTTTATTTTCAGTTGTCTTTCTTAGGGATGTTGCATTCTTAGGGATGTTGCATTCTCCTTGCTCATGCTGTTGGTTTATCTTCCCTGTTTGTGGAATGGAGGGGGAGGGGGGAGGGATGTCCTTCATGTTCTTCCTTCAGGAATCCTCCTAGATCCCAGGGGTTTGCTGCCCTCTCCTCTGCCCTGTGAAGGGTGCATTAGGTCTCTTTGAGAGACCAGTTTGAGACCTCTTCTTTCCCGAGCCTCCTTATTCTTCTGGGGCAGGTTTCACATCCTCCTGGTTCAGAAGTATGTACTGCTGGTTTTCTCAGTTCTTTTCCTTGGTTCACACTTGGGGTTTTGTTTTGTTTGGTGTTTTGTTGTTGCTTTTTAAACTAAAGGCAAGTGAAAAGTAGGATCAAGTTAATACACAATTGCCCCAAATTATTATGTAACGCACATATTCCTCACTGGGCTGAAAATCAGATTTTTAATCTAGTTTCTTCTCTTGAGTTTTATGAATGCCATCCTGACTGAAAGCTATTGGTGGTATTTCAGTTTATAGTGTTTGCTTTACATCAGAATAGTCCTTGGAAGACTTTGGTGGTGGGAGAAGACTCCCAGGTCCTGTACAGATGACACATACCTTGTCCCATGGTGCTAACTGAGTTAATGAGAGGTAGATGATTAGTGGCTATTAAGTTGTAAGTTTTTGTTGTAGAAGGAGAGCAAGAGATGGATTTCTGAAGCACAGGCAAGCAGGGGACTTGCTAGCTCTGTTGGTTAATGCCGAGGTTGTGGGTTCCATCCCTGGATGGGCCATTAAGAGCTGGGCCCGATGATGCTTCCCAGTCCCTTCCAGCTCAGATGACTCTGTGACTCTCTGAATGCAGTGTCAAGTTGTGTGGATGCTGTGGAACAAAGAGAACTTCTGAGAAGATGTAGGGAGTAGTTTTATGAATATTTGAAAAATTCCTTCCCAGTTTGAAACACAGGGTCTTTAAAAAGGAGGAAAGACTGCGAAGGGCCCTTAAAGTGAAACACAGGAGTATCTATTGATGGGATGAAGAAAGCAGTAGTGTCAATGAGATGTGAAGAAAATGTTTAAAATAAAAGGAGTAGAGTTTATCTTTGTCCCACTGAATTTGAATGAGCTGTCAGATGAGCAAGCCATACCTAAGGCAACTGGAAAGGGTGAAGCAAGATGATTTGTATCAACAAATAGTGCAAACATACAGAGCAGGGTTGAGGAGTGGAACAAGTAAGGGCTAAAGACCTGACATCCACATAAGGCACGTTTTAGGAGGTTTTATCTCAGATTATCTTTAGTCAGTTCCCATGAACTAAGCAACTATGAGCAGCTGGAGGATCTGAGTGCTCCTGGAACGTATCTTTCTGGCCTGGGTCTTCCAAAAAGAATCTAGTTCGTGTATTCTGAGCCTCTGGTGTGAACCAAAGCATGATAAGTTGGGAGAACCAAATGATTCACCTCAAATGTGAGCTTCTGATCCAAACTGAAGCAGCAATATATGGCTTTCAAGTTTGTTCTTCCCAGGATAGAGTGTCTTTGCTGGACAGAAGTGGAGGATAAATGTGTGAATTGCCAGAGCGTGCATCATAGCTGAATTAAAACCTTTTTATTTTATTTTCCCATTTCTTGTTATGTATTTCTGGAAGTTTAATTGTTGTTTGCACCACATTTTAAAAAGTAATCTCTCTGGCACACAGATTTTCATCACAGTCAATTGCTTGAGCACAGACTTCTCCTCACAAAAAGGAGTAAAAGGGCTTCCTTTGATGATTCAGATCGATACTTACAGCTACAACAACCGCAGCAATAAACCTATCCACCGAGCCTACTGCCAGATCAAGGTTTTTTGTGACAAGGTAAGTGCAAAGCACAGTTACCATGGATAAAGGAGGAATCTTGTTAGGCAGTTTATTGTTGCTGTATTTTAGACCTAATTAAATGCTGTTTCTTTCCTTAAAGAATTGTATTTCATCATAGCACTTGGTCCAGCTGTATCACAAATCTAAGTGATTATCATGTCATTAATTTACTGCTTTGCAGCCTTTTTGGCCCTGATTTCTCAGCTTGTGAGCAATAGTTGGACTGTTTAAGGATAGCATGTTACAGGTCATGATTGTGGAATATCAATAAAGTAATAGAAAATGCAAATGCAAGTATCTCTATTTGGAAGGTCAGTGCTGATCACAGGCTCACTCACATAAGTGGTAGTCTGCTGATGTCCTCCCTTCTGACAGCCCGGATAGATAGATAAACTTCATATCAGTTTCTCTGACAGAAAAAATGCTCTTTCAGTGAGGGTCTGCCAAGCTCCCTTATATAATGCAATGGAAACCAGCAAATTCCAGTGACACAGCTGATGGGTTTTCCCCCTGCTTTGCTTGCAGTTATTTTAGAAACTCTTATGTTGCTAGGATTTTCTTATCAAAAGTAAAATACAAAAAATATATTAGCCATTCCCATTTTGTAATTCAGTCACTATTTTTTGTGTGTGTTCACACCCTCTTAAGCAAAATTTTGGTTTTTTGCTGTAGGTATGACTGCTCCTCTGTGGAGACTAGTAAGATGTTTCAGCACCATACATAGATCATGCCTGAATGAATTAGACAGTGTCATGGTCAGCAGTGTATATCACCAGATAGAAACAGTTCCTCAGAAATGTCAGTGATGATACTTCAAAGAGAGTGTGACCACTTTTCAGTTTTGTTTAGCATCTGTCAGCTGATGACTTTCTCCATGCCGAGAAACATCTTTCATAGGGGAGCTGATGCCTGGATTCTAGTCAAGGTTCAGGGATTCAGGATCCTACGTCTATTTAAGTGACTTGGAATTTTATCCAAATTAGTCTTGCCATCCTACAGGTGGGAATAGAAAGACAAAAGGCCATGCCCCAGGCAAAACATAACATTAACTTTTTAATTGAAAGGGTAAGAGTTCAACTGTTTCAGGTCTCTGTGTTGCTGCTCCTTCCCCCTTTTCAGTTCATTCCCCTGTTGCTGTTTTGACATCTTGAGGGCTGATCAGTCTGTTGTGTTAGTGGAGGAAAATCTTTGGAAGTAATGAATGTAAATGTTTGCACTGAGGTCTTCTTGCAGCCAAAATGCTATGCTTTTAATTGTAACTTTGAATGTCAAATATTGAGAGATTTGAAGCTACAGCTGGATCTTAAAAGCTCAGTAAATATCAAAGTAACAAGTCGTTTTCATCTACCTGTTTCTGAAGCGCAATTAGAAAAATTTGAATTATTTAAAAAAAGGAAGGAAATTCAGAGCACAAACTCATCAAGGGTGACCTCTAGATACAACTGGTGGAGATTTTGAATAATAAATGTTCATTGCAGCTATTGGCTTAATTGAAGCTTCAAGTATCCAGACGAAAAAGCAGGAAATGAATGTTGAGTCTATTAATCAAAACTGTCTCAAAGTAGGAGAGATCACAGGGGTAGTTAAAGTGTTATACACATCAGAAATTGGAAGTGGGAACTGAAGGGCTCAAGGGTATTGATAATAGGCTGTATATGTGTTTAATATAAATATATACACACATGTAGAGCTTTTTAAGTGTGAAAAGTGCAGGTGTGAAAGTGACTTGAGCAAATGAAAATTATTGAGGTCAATGCACATGACAGTTTGTGCTAATTTGCACTTGGTAAAAGACAAATTCTTGCTTGTCCCCAAACTTATGTTGCCAGATCTTTACCAACATCCATTTGTCACAGGGCTTTTGTAAGTAAATAAATATTTGGAGAATTTCCACTTGCTGGTGGCACTGGGAGAATTCAATGTGCTCAGAGGAAGGTAGCTGGTGTGGCTGGGTCAAAATAAACCCCTGGCTCTGGTTAAGGTGGTGCTAAATGGTTGAGTTTCTCTTGCTAGCCTGGGGCTCTCCCCCCAGTGACATGGACAAAGCTTGCTGCCTCCTTGGGGAAGGCCATGAAGCTGTGACTGTTATTTATTGCCTACCTCCTTGTCCTGATGAATTGAAGAGGTACTATAGGAACATAAAAAAAACCACTCAGCAATCATATAATGATCTTTATATATTCTGAAAGTGTGAACTGCTCTGTTATGCCCCAATCTGACAGCCTCAAAGAGAAGCTGATGACAAAAGTACCTGATTTATTACAATCACCTGGCCTGGTGGAACTGCACAGTAAATTCCTCTTCCCTAAGTGTGAAATGTTTCTCATTCTGCAACATGGAAGAAAAAAATGTTTCTGTCTCTGAGGTGTTATTAAAAATGTTTCTTTCTGTAGTGGTGGTGCATCTTTAGAACCAGTGGATGTATTTGTATATTCACTTAGATAAATCACAGGTGGAGGTGTCCAGTTTTTAAGAACATTCACTGACAAATTAATGTCTTGTAGCTGCAACACAGCGTAGCTGTTGTGGAAAGAGTTATCTTTGAAGAAATAAATCTGCATTTAGCTATGTGGTACATATTATATATATATAAATTAGTATTTATTCTGGCAATTCCTTCATTTTAATATTAGTTTACATATAAACTAGAGAGAAACATGAACTAACATCCAGTATGTGCTTTGTGACATAAATGTATGGAGATAAATGTTGCAAAGGCTGTAAATGTTACTTAACAAATTTAACTTTACCATACTCCCTATTTGTCATCCAATCTTTTGCCCATGTTTGTTTTTCACTAGGCAATCTTCAAAGCATTTGTTACAGTCCACATCTTGTTTTGTCAGTGCTAATTCTCTGCCTTGCAGTCATCAGTGCAGATCACTGATGCTGCATTATAAGTTTATCTAATTTTTATTCCTTAAGTAGGTTGTCAGGGAAACTTGCTACCAGGCCTATTTATATTTATATATTGCACAATGTTTAGCCACTGTGTATGAAAGAACTGGGACTTCAGAGCTACTTGATTTTCTACATGTGATTATCTGCTGAAAAGAAGCAGAACTTGACTTGGCAAATACCATAAAATTGATCCAAAATAAAATAAATTAATCCAGTTTTATTTAACCTGAAAAATACATGTTCTTTGGAATATGTGCAGTTCACACGTCCTTGTTTTTGGTGTGGATCATCATAGAGAAAATGGATTATCATAGAGTATTTAGAAACTCTAATTGACTATTAATCTTCAGCTTTGGAGAGAGCTTCTATTTCCAGGCTAAAGCATTCCACATCTCATTGGGCAGGCACACAGACATCAGCCTATGTCTATGTGCCTGCCCAAAGAGATGTGGAATGCTTTAGCCTGGAACTAGAAGCAACAGTACATATGAGCATCAGTGTGGTGCAAGACTTAAGTTTAAAGATTAGGAAGAAAATACTTTGAGTCAGCTGAAATTCGTAAGCTGCATTTTGTTAATAATTAGTAGCAGAAGTACTCCTTGCATTTATACAAAGCCCAGATATCAATGAAAAAATTAAGAACTCAATTATTTCACTTGTTGCAGCATAGTTTATAGTCCCCAGTAGAAAGGTAGTTTCTTTTGTCCTGAAGAGATGTGCAAACTGTGCTTTATTAGGTATGTGTCAGATGGCTCAGCTCTCAAAACTATGCAGCAGAAATGCTCTAGTAGGCAAAAATAATTTTGTGGTCTCATCCCTGTGACTATGACATCCATTCTGTAGGCTGGGCTGGCCCTGCCCTGTGGGCTGCTCCAAGCTCAAAAGGGCTGGTAGGTAGTTTTGTGGGTATTGCAGTTGCCACATTTGTGAAGTGACTGTGGCACAAATAAACGCTGCTAGATGGGAATGACTGCCCAGCCCAGGGATTGCCTGCCCCTCAGAGATCTTGGGCTGTGTTGCCTTGAATGAATGACTGAAGAGAAAGCTGTAAATTGTCACCGAGTTCATGGTTACAAAGAATATTACAGAAAATCAGTAAAATATATTTTTTTTAATTATGTATAAAAGGCTGGGTCCTCCTCAGTTTCTGCTTTCCTGAGAGAAAACTCACACTTGGTGCTGTGTGTGAAGTACTTTGATGGTTCATCCTGTTTCCTGTGAGAAACAGCAGAGTGGCAGCACCGAGTGATAGGTGTGGCTGCGGCCACCTGGCAGAGCCCTTTGTGCTGCACAGGTTTCTCAGGCTGTGCTTTTTGCTGAACAGGGCTGGGATGTGTATTTTTGCTCCTTTCTTACAAAGAACAGGTGTCTTTAAAGGTTACAAATGTACCTCTAGAAACAATTTTGATAAGTGCACAACTCTCAATCCCTTGGCTTCTGCGGTTGAGGTTGGTGAGTGACAACTGGACTGGGACCTGGTCTGGAGGCAGTGTTTCTGTTTGACACATTCATGTTTTCCTAAAGAGCTATTTCTTCCTCCAGCTCTTTCAGTCTCTGGAAATCTACTGATAGATCACAGCCAGGAGTACATCTTTCCTTGCACTCTTTCTAAACTTGGTTCATTGACTCATGTGTGAATTTTGCCATCTTGAGTGGGTGTTTTTTGCTTTCCTTACCTCCCTCCTCTCCCTTTCTATTCAAGAAACTTCTAATTTTAATTTGGAAAAAAATTCTGTAATCTTGCATGCCAACTGCCTGGGAGCAGATGGATCTTCATTACCCTTCACAATGTGATAGGCATTATTTATAAAGTAAATTAGGAGAACTTCAAAGGAGGTGTTGCTGCTTTTTATGCCAATAACAAGTTTTATTTTTTAAACTTGTTGAGAGTGTATTTACATAACAGAAGCCTGCAACTTCCCAGGAGTTCCTGGTGCCTAATAGGGCAGTGCTACATTGCTTTCCTATTTCTGGAGAGCTTCTCCCAGTTTGAAATGCCTGTATTTTTCTGTAAGAACCCTTGCAATGTTGGCAAGCTGTCAGCACAGCCTTTTTGGACTGTCAGTTCTCAAAGGCTCTGCACAGCTGGCTACAGTGCAGCCACCCCCAGACAAATTGGGTGGAGGAGAGTTTAGGGAAGACCTCAGCACAGACATTATGTAAAATGATAGCAATCCTGCAGGTGTTTTATGCCATTACATACACAAAATATTTGGCCTGAGCACTCTGTCCATTGCAGAGACACTGGGCTTGGGATGCCCTTGGGATGCCCTTTGCACAAGCTGTGCTGGCATCAGTCCTGCTACAGACTGCACACTGCCTGTCCTGGCTCCTCCAAACCAACATATGGATATGTTCCTCTTGCTGTCTGCAGCTCTGGGAGCTACTGGATGTGCCAGCTGAGTCTCAGGCACAGGTGATCCATGCAAAACCTTCCCAACAGACTGGACAGATCTGTCTTCAATGAAGTAACCAGTTTCTCTTTTAGCATTTCTGTGTGTCTGATGCTGTAGTTCCAGGCATTGCAGAGTACAAAGCTCATGGTGGTTCCTCTTTGGGTAATATCTGTTTGTTATCTTTCTTGCATCAGGGAGCAGAAAGGAAAATCCGAGATGAAGAGAGAAAGCAGAACAGGAAGAAAGGCAAAGGCCAGGCATCCCAAGCCTCATGTAATAATGGTGAGTGAAATGGGCCTTTCTGGTCTGGGGCTAAGTCACGCTTACCATGCCTCCCTTCACAACTCTGTGCTTTGTGATCCACCTAGCAGCTGAAGGGAAGTTGAGTGCACTCCCTCTGCAGAAAAAGAGTGATATCACCTTCTTCAAAACAATGGCTGACCTGGATTCCCAGCCCGTTCTCTTCATACCGGATGTTCACTTTGGAAACCTGCAAAGAACTGGGCAGGTAGGAAATAATGAAATGAGCAGGTGCCCACTTGCCACCTGGCTGCCTCTGCTCTGGGGCAGGTTTTGGGAAGTAAATAGCTGTTCCTGGGGGCCACTTGTTTCAGCTCTCATTTTGGTAAATGCAGTTTTGGCACATCACTAATAGAGGACCTTAGAAAAGGCAAGTACCTTTCTGAGTTCTGGGTGCAGAGGAGTTTATACTTCTTTGACAACTGACCAGTTTTGTTACAGTACTGTCATTCTTTTGCTTTCAAGTGTAAGGTTGATTTGTGACTGAAACACAATCTGGTTTTGAGTGTACTCTCTGGCTTGATGAAATGAAGTGCCACCTTGTGGTAGCAGAGATCCCCCTCCCTGTCACAGCTGAAAACAACGACCAAGCTCTTACCCGTGTAGAAAGGTCAATAGTAGGGTCACTAAACACCACTACCCGTTTTCTGTCAGCATCACTTAGAGATCTGGAAATTCCTTGAAAAAAATATTTTCACTCTTCCAAGTAAAAACTCTGTCATGCTAATGTTAAATACTCAGTATTGGTAGTTATTATCATTAGTAAACATAAGTCTTTCCTAACTTGGCTCTTTTCTATTTTATCACCTGCTGGGAAGTTGAAAGCCTGAACTGGAGGGTCAGCTCTGACAACTTTTTTACTATGAACGTGTTATTCATTAACATCTCAGGGAGCAGAATGAGACAGTTATGCATATGTTTATTAAGACAAGTAGTTAATGAGGAAATCTAATATGCATTGTGGGAATCCATAAAAATCAGAAAGTTTTAGGAAGGTTGTTAAAAGGACAGGCCATTTGGAATTGTCAATTTTGAAGCAGTGAGAATTGTGGTTGAGCAAAGCACAAAGAGCACAGACATTGTAATCACAGCTGTCACAGGCTTACTCTCCCAAGCTGGAAAGTCGCCCACTCACAAATCAGTGTTGGGTACCTTCTGTCCTCATGGCTTTCAAACCAAAATGGGGATTTGTTTCAAAACAGGAGACGGTAGAAACATTCCTTAATATATATAATCCTGTAAATAATTTTCTAAACTAACTGGAAGATATCCCCATTTCCTAGCTCTTAGGCAATGTTCAGCCATGTCTTTTATTGCTGTAACTCATAGTTACAGCCCTCAGCTTTGCACACACACACCTCTGAGCTATTTTCATTGCATAGTTTCAGAAGGGAAGGCTCCCAGTGAGAGCCAAGTGTGCTCTGAGCCAGTGCTAGAGACCTGCCTGGGGTGGCTTGCCCTGCCCTGCCCAGCTCAGCAGCTGCAGGGCTGCTGCGCTTGTTGGTGCAGACCTGCAGTGTGGGCACATTGTGAGGAGTTTGGTTGAGTGTTCTGTGAAGTGTTGGACAAGAGAGTGTGATTTTATACCTCCCCTGCTGCTGTCAGCTGCATTTGCTGCTGCTGTAAATTTGGTCCCGGTGACTTTCAGCTACGTGGATTTCCACAAAACTGGACTTGGGCTTCTGCCCACAGCTGTGCAAAAAATGTTCAGCTGTACCTTTAGTAATTGTATTCCCATTAGGCCTGTAGTTTAATCTTGTTCTTTATAGTTTAATTAGATTTTCAGACAGTATTAAATACATACAAAAGCTTTTGAGTGTTGTGGCTTAAACTGTATTAAGGGTTATTTAGGTGAGTAGCAATCTGATTTAGAGGATTGTAAAATAATTGGGAAAATGATATAAAGCAGGGAAGAGGGTAATGTCTCTCAAATAAACTTTGATATATTTCCAGTAGATGATATTCAACAACAGTTTCTCTAAGCCACACTTCTTCCAGATAACAGTTTTGAACTAGAGGTGTTTGTGTTTTATAGGAGGAAAAGGATTTTTAACATATGACAAACTGCAAAAACTTGTTGTCTTTTCTCCCTTTTGAAGTTATTCTGTTAAGCAAGTGTCTGAGTTTTGGGAATAATTGATTTTTATTTCCATCCTTCTAGGTTTACTACAATACAGATGACGAGAGAGAAGGGTAAGATATTTATTGTTTCACAAGCTTTGCAGTTAACATTTTAAACTCATAGAAAGTTGATACAAAATATGAAATCAGATAAAACTGACCCCTTTCTCCCCCTTCCCTCATGTTCTCCCATGTAAACTGTTTGCTTTTTATGTCTGTATTTTAATACATTTCCAAGTAAAAGAGCCCTAAGGTTTGATACAGGAAGAGGACAATATATTTGATAATGAAGTAAGCATCTATTTAAGCATGAGGGTTCTCAAATAACTTAAAAACTGGGAATTTTTAATTGAAGCACTGGACTTCACTGCATTCCTGAAAGCTGTTTAGCAGTGCACACACGTGTATGCAACAAATACAGGAACTGCAGAGAGAATGGCCAAGTGCCAGAAGAGGAAGGCAGAAAGAGAAGAGAGAACCTGGGAAGGACAAAGGTTGGAAGTGGGAGCACTCCCGATCTGACTTTGGAGGGACTGGAAGAATTGATGAAAGTCCCTCTGATAGTTAGAGGTGCCATGAAATAAGGGTTTTAATATGGGCTGCTGAACTTCAGCCCACATTGTGTGCCAGCCCCATACTTTTATAAGTTGCTTGAATCCCCAAGTACACACCCTCAAGTTTGAGATTCTGGAGTAACATAACTGCTCCCATAAATCTGCAAAAAGTGACCTGTAGTAGGGACTGGCCAAGCACCTGAAGTCAACATTGGCTTGAAAACATGAGGCCCTTTTTATTTCTTTTTGAAACTGCTGCTCTTCATAAGGCTTACAGTGGAATTTGAGAAACAAAGGGGTTTATTGCATCAAGCAATAACCACCCCCCTTCCCTCAATATTTAAACAGTTAAGGGCCTTTGGGGTTTTTCAGATTAGTGTGTAACATTGGAACATATTTTCTTGTCACCTGTCCCAGCCAGTCAGTCTCAGCAACTGCAGAGGCCTAGATAGTTCAGATAAGCATCAAAAACTAAATCCTTGCAGTTTCTGCTTTTGGTGCTACATGAGTATCTAGTGGGTGTTTTTGCCAGAGTACAAAGTGAGTCATGACTGTTGCTGTTGTCTCCTCTCCTGCTGTGAGAACAGTTTTACTGTGACATGGTCCCTGTTTTGTGTATTCTAGTAGCAGTGTCCTGGTCAAAAGGATGTTCCGGCCTGTGGAGGAAGAGTTTGGTCCTTCCCCTTTGAAACAAATCAAAGAAGAAGGTCTGAAAAGAGGTAACAATCCATTCTTAGCAGTTAAAAATCATTCTGTGGGACTCAAACCCTCAAACTGGGAGGGGCAGGTGTGGTTTGGACAAAGTCAGTTGTAGGATGCAAGTGCAAATATGGGTAGATGGGAGAGGAGATCTTTGTATCTGCAGTCCATAAGGAGGCATTTTAACAAATGCTAAAAATTACGTCAGGAAAAAAAAAAAAGGACTGTGCTTTCTCAAGAAGGGATCAGGACACAAGTGTATAGAAAAAACTTAGAAAGTTTCTTGGTTCTTGGCCAAGCTACAAAGTTTATGAAAGTTCTAGTAGCAAATCTGTGATGGTCTATTTTTAACTTTTGCTCATCTTTTCTGTTCTGTCTGGGATCACAAGCAAATATGCAAGATGCATTGGGTCAAATACAGAGACCTTAACAGGCAAGCTCCTGCTGACTGCAAACTTAGATTGGGTGGAATAAAATCAGAAATTTCCTACCTTATTAGAAATATAAAACATGGAGAGACATCTTCCAGCAGATGTAACAGAATTGTTTAAGGGTTTGTTCCCCTTTACTGTTTTTGCTGCCCAGGTGGGTATTATTACAGTTGCAGCAGAGCTTTATAGAAATTGCTTCCCACAAGCCCGCATTTGCCAAGTTTCTCTGTTGGTTAGGGTGGTCTGCTTGAACCAGGGGAAGCATAGAAGATTATAGGATGGAGACTGATACCTTCTTGAAATAAATGTGAACATATGATTCTTTTAATTAAATCTTAAATTAATTATGTGAGGTTAGCACTGACTATGGACTTGTATTTGGTTGACTCAAGACCTTGGCCCAATTCACATTATCAGGGCTCTATCAAGCAGAAGATGACAGCCATGAGGGCTGTATAAAGAACTGTCATTTCCTACAATTTCACCTGGGCTTCCCAGCTGGAAGCCTAGGAAGTTGTCTGCAAGGAGGTATTGGTTTGCTTTGATTATTCCTATCCTTTGCTTTGGTTAGTTGTTTTGATAGCATTCAGGACTTGCAGGTATTTCAAGGATAAGATTAGAAAGAAAGAAAATTTAGCTGCTGGCAAAGCTATGTAAAATGATTAAATCCATGAGAGGCACAGAAGCAGAGAAGCTGGAGGATGCTGTCTTCACATCCCCTTCCTGTTCAGTGTTTCTCTCATCTTGGATATGCTGGCTGGAGGCCAAGGCTTTTCCAGTGTGGCCTTTGCCCTGGTGAACTTCCTGCCATCCGCAACCTTGCCTCTGGGATTGTGCTGGTGGGGTGCAGCTCAGCTGAGCCTACCCATTTGATAACTCTATCTTTGCCAGAGGATTCACTGGTATTAAAATGCTTGGGGTTTTTTTCCCCAGCCATATTGAAAGCCATATTGAAAGCTTCTTTTCTCAAGATTTATTTGGTACAGCAGAATCAAGAGTCCTAGAGAGCAGGTGTAGATGGGGTGCAGGTGTAATGTTTGAGAGGGAGCAGGTCTGATATGTGAAAATAGACATTAAAATATACATTAAAGGCAATGTAATCCCAAAGTGTCTTATTAGGAGAGCAGTGCAGGTAAATAGCAGCCAGTGAGGTGTCCAAGCTCCACTGAAGAACTGAAGTGGAAGTGTATGACCTCACCCCTACCTTCTGGACCTACTTGTAACACTGTATGGTGGAAGTAAAAATATTAAGGGGCAGCCTTCAAGAAAACAGGTCTGAAGGGATTTGCAAATGCTCTTTGTATTCTCACTCAGGTAGCTGCCTCTTTTTGAATTATTCTTTCATCTCCTTGACCTCTAAGGGAAGTCCAAGTGCCCAACACAGAAATGTGAAGTATGTTAATCTGTACCAAATGTGCATCACAGCTAGTTACTTGGCTAGACTTGGCTTTTTCCTGTTTTGAGTTCTCAGTAAGTTTTCAATTCACTTTCCCTTTCAGATTTCATAGGGAGTTGCAGTTAATTATAAATCCAGCAGCTGAATTATAGATCAGGTGGATTTCCAGTCCTGTAGTTCTCAGTTTCAAGAAAGTAATTTTTTTGGGTAGCTTTTGTCTCTTAGGAAAGTTATGTTGAACTACTCTGAAACATTTTGGATTCATAGCAAGCAGGATGTTGAGAGCCAGCCAAGGGAATTTGTGCCTGGGCAATAACGAAAACTCCAAATGTGAGAAAGGAAAGCTAAATTACAGCTACCAGCCCTTCTTTCCTTGACTAAGATGTGCCACATCTTTATCCAGAGACTACTTGACAGAGACTGTAGTCATTATTCATAGGGTGCCAGTCACAGCACTGGTAGTGCCCAGGCTCAGACCTTCCTAAAGCCCCAGGTCTTACTGACTTATTGTGTCCTTAATTTCATTTTTCCTTGTGTATGTTGTTAACAATTTAAAAAGAGGTATCTAACATTGTTCTTCTGCATTCACACATAAATCCTCAATTCGGGTGGCCTGGCTTCTAAAAGTCTCACTGGTGCAACAACATCCCTTTGCCCCTCAGCAATTTGATGTGTTGGGGCTATTTCTTAAGTAATTAAAGACAAATTTATCTTCCCCCATCTTATACAAATCTTTTTAACATCTAAAAAATATTAAGGTCTGCAGTAGTTTTTAGTGCTGGCAAGAAAGTTAAGGGCTAAGACCAGGCAGTAGATCAGACAAATTTGAATTTATCTTGTACCTTTCAGGCAAAAATAGCTCATTACCTCGTACAAGATCTCCCCCTTGTTCACCTCCAAATCTTTTAATTTGTACTATTAGAGTGAGCCCATCTAGACGCTGTGAATGTGATGACAGTAGGATCAGAGGACATGAGTTGTGTTACATGGTCACAGGCATTCAGTGGCAGTGCTGCTGCTGAGCCCAGTGGAGCCTTTGCAGCCCTTTTCCCTCCCCTTAAGCTGTGCCTCCCACTGTGGCTGTCTCTCTGCTGCTCTGCCAGCATGAAGCCTGTGGGGCTGCATGGTACACTGAGGCAGGGATCTGATGTGTCTGAAGAATAACTCAACAAAAGTGTTGTTTTTTCACTCGCATCTGCTGTTTGAGAGAGTTTTTCATCCAGGAAAATTTGTTGAGATGAGCCAGAACAAGAGGGTGTAAGGATACGGATGAGACAGGGACTTCCTAAGGCATCACTGTCACCAGAAGTCATTTGTGGAAGAGTACTCTACTAAATCAAAGCCAGGAGTTTCACACCTGTCAGGGTAAAGAAAAGCCTAACAACCCTCCCGTGTGCTTACTAATCCTCTCTCTGTGTGTGTGTAATGTTGCCTGGCACACCAAGCACAGCAGAGATGTAAAGCTCAGCACTGGGATTGTGTCATGTACCCAAGTTTAACCTTGGACCAAGTGATTTTTTTTCTCCTTTCAGATATATTTGTAATTGTTAAGGCTGGCAGAGCTCCAGGTGTTTGTAAAGCCAGGTGTTCCGGGACAACCCTCTAGTCACAAGGAAAAAGTTTACTAAATTAATATAAGTGTTAATACTGGTAAAATTAGTCCATTGAGTGAGAGCTTGTTCATGTGATTAAGCACATCAGGCATGGTAAAATTTAACTCCTGGTGTGGAATTTTGTTTTTCTTTTATGTTTTGACAGGTTAAGTTGTGACCCAAAGTTGTCTCTGCTTCTAACTCCATTGAAACAATGTTCTCAGGCCAGGCCCCAAGAGTTGCCAAAATATAGGTGAAAAGGATGTGGCTCTGCATGCTGTGGTTGCAGTTTCATGGCTCATATTTTTGAATTAAAGATGCAAAAAATCCAACATTGTCCTCCTGCATGCTTGGTTTTTAGGCCCAGTGAGGGAACTGAACTACCCATTATTTTTTTCCAGTCATTTCAAAACCTGGGCAAAGGAGCTACAATCCTCCACAAATGGGCCTGTGTCCATCCTGCTAGAGTCTTGGCCTGAGAATTAACTTTACACAATTACTTGTATGTGAAAAATACCATCAAATTTTTTGGTTCATCTGAGTGTCATCTATTGAGTTACATGGTGAAGATGTCTCTTGGACCGTGAGAATTTGCAGTTTCAAAAGATGCCCATTTCTGTATACTGCCCCCCCCCCCCCCCCAAAAAAAAAACGGGTTACCAATGTAATTTGTCCCACAGACATGACAGTGCATGTGTGTTTGTACCTCTTGTGCAGCAGTGCTATTTGAAAAGGCAGTTCATTTAGGAAACAAAATATATTGCAGAACCTGTCTTATTCAACCTGTTACTTATCAGTCATGTGAGATTATGCCTAAAATACTTTTCTAGTGTCTATGCTTACATGCTTTGTATACCTGTCTGCTTTGCTTCTGCCATGTTATAGCAAGGTTCCTCCATTTACCTGAACTGGTGTGAAGAAAGCAAAAGCTAAAGAGGGCAGGGCACTGTGCCTGTGGACAGCTAGCAGCTAACATCTGAGGGAGGAAGAGGAACAGAAATGGCATTTGGGTACCTAAGCAGGTGGGCACACTGGTAAATGCCTGCCTGCCAGCTGTGCTCTTGAATGTCTCCCCTGTAAAGTCTCAAATTACTTTGAATTCATTTTTTCCAGTGTTTAATTTCATACTGGTCAGGCCATTTGCAGTCATCCGCCCAGTAATGTCAGAGACAACTATTTCTTTACCTCTTCTTTGATTTTGCTCTCAAAGGCACAGCTAAAGGCAACCCAGACTTGCCTTTTTTGAATGTCCTTTCAAGCCTTTTAGATGAAACCTGGAGAGGTACAAGCCAAGACAGAGGTTTAAGAAGACCTAGATTGTGTGTTTTGTCCTATAACCAAGGGACAAGGCCCCAGTGCTTTTTAGCTTCTTTCTGTAAATGGAGATTTAGATTCTGGAAGATAGAGATTTTTCACATTAGATTAAATTTTCAATACTGTATTTTCAATGCAACTCCAATGTATTGTCCATGTCTAGATCACTGATAATATTAAAGGTACATCTTTTTAAGTGCAAACCATCTTCAGTGCTTCATTTTATCTGTCATGGATTAATATTTGTTTTTCTATTCAGTGTGGGGTATTTCATCTGTGCAATTGACTGAACCTGCTCCTGGTTTGATTTTTTTTTTTCCCTATTTCAGTGCTTTTGTATGTGAGGAAGGAGACAGATGAGGTGTTTGATGCTTTGATGCTGAAATCACCCACAGTGAAGGGGCTAATGGAAGCTGTAAGTATCCAATGTCCTCACATTGTTTGTCTTTCTTGGCAAGAAAATCTTGAGGCTTTCCATGTATTATTGACATAAACCATTATGTAAAGATGAAGTTATTCTCAAGTGCATTTAAAGCTTTTCTTAAAGCTTTCTGGAACCCTGAAATGCTGGCATTTTCCTAATTCAGTGTTATCAGCAGGTTACTGGTTTTAAATAGCATCACAGAGCTGATTATTGGACACCTGAGCTTTGAGGAATTGCAGTAGTTAACCAGTGTCAGGGAAGGAGAGAGGTGCAAGCTTCATTTTCTGAAATGCTTCTTTCTGAACTGATGTTTCAGAGCCTGTTGAATCTTTTCCTGTAATGCTTGTCAGTACATTCCCAGCCTGGTTTCCAAGAAGAGGCCCAAGGATGCAATGTTTCTGTGGGAATTTCATGTGGCCTTTGTGCAATTGCTGTTCAGCATGTAAGAGGCAGGTGCTGAGCCAGTGCAGACTTGTCATTCATATGTTGTCTCAAATTCCTTCTCTAGTCCTCACTTACAGCATGACCTACCTACCACTTGCCTCTTTGCTGCTTCTTTGAGTTGAGGTTTAGCTGTCATCATGAGAGTTGCTGTTTCCATGTTTAATCTTGTTTATATGAGCTGATGGCTCATGAAATTTGGTAAGGGAAAAGTTAAGAAATAATCATGTGTCTCACTGCTTCAATGGAGGAATGTGAGATTGACATGTGGGATGCTGAGTTGATTTCCAGCCTTGTTTACTTGTAGGGGAGAAGACGGAAATGGATGAAAATGCCCCTAGAGAACTCAGCCAAGTGCCAGAATGTGTATATTTATACTCTCCTAAAACCATCACAGTATCTTGTTACATTTACTGAACACTTTTAATGCAGTAAAGATTGAGTTATTTGGTCAGTATTTGGCCAGTAGCAGAAGGCAGAAAAAGATTTGTGGGTTAGTGAAGTTGCTTAAAGCACCTCTTTAGATGGGGGTATCTCTGAGGAGAGTCAGTGGCACGCTAAGGATGTCCTAACTGTGCTTCTGCTGATGCTGTTTGTTAGCTGTGACTGCAGCTCAGCTGTCAGGCAGAGCACATGGATAACAAAAACCAGGCTTTGCTTGAAGAGGCAGCAGTTTGATTCATGGTAAGCTGCAACACGATTTCATCTTGTCTTTGTATGGAAGTTAAAAGTATGTTATAATCTGTTCAAGCTAGCATGAATATTTTATCTCTAGTAGTCTGTGCCTCTCCATGCCTGTTCTCCAGCCACCATGTAACAAAAACAAAGCTGGTGCAGAAGCAGGAAGGGTTTCTGCATGCCTCAGTCAGTGCAGCTGCTGACTCACTGGCATGTTTTCGGCACCAGAGAAATCTGATCTGTTGTAAAATGTCCCAGTTCACTGGAAGGAACACATTCAGAAAATCTGAATTCTCTTTGGTAGGATATTGTGGATAAAACAATGCCAAAAAGCTGTCAAACTGCATATTCTTAAATATTGTCTCTACAGTCATTGCAGCAAATCATGTAATTTTGTAATTGTGCATGTCCTAAATGCGTCATTCTTTTCTCAGTATTAAGAATTTAGGAACTGAGCTTCTGAGTATTACAGAGCCTCAGATCTGAAAGGGAGCTCCAGTGATCCTCAGCCATACCCTCCTTCTCTGTTTATGGATTTTACTCTTTTTTTTTTTTTTTTGTTAGTCATTATTCCTGATCTTTGACTTCTCCCCTAACTTTCTGTTATTAATTATATGGTTTTCTCAGATCCTATGTTTATTTTATTCTCACATATACCCCCATTCCAAATTAACAATTAGATTCCTTTTCAGATACCTTTCTTTTGGCAAATATCTAGAGGTTTTGGGTTTCAGAAATGCAGCATGTCTCAGGAAGCTACTCATATGTTTGGTTTTTGCTAATCAGTCTTGATCAAGTGAAAATAGCAAAACATGACATATATGTGTGACTGACCAGCTCTACATCTTGATTTCAGCCTGATCCAAAGTCAGGATAACTGTGGATCTCAGTAGGTACCTCAGTCTTACATTGTGCAAAATTGCATACTTATTCAAATTACAGAAGGCAGTTCAAACTGGGAAATTCAAGCATCTCCCAAAATCTTTCAATAATTAAAAGTTAACAGCTGAGTTCAGTAGATCTAGCTTAGACTATTAGATACCTGCCAATATATACGTGATCTTCCAGCCAGTGTAGGGCAACAGACAGATTATTTAATAGAAATAAGCTGGCAAAGATGTTTTCCTACATGCCTTGACCCACCCAGGTATTGCCCTTTCTGGTCTGACTCCAGCAGAGAGCATTTCTGGTGGCTCATGCAATCAGAAAAACTTGCCATGCCAGGGGACTGCAGCCCAAAGGGACACCCAGACAGGTATTTCAGTGCCACTCAGAAGGCTGTTGCTCTGCTTCAGGCATCCTAACAGAAATAAATCTCTGCTCAGAAGATTGACAAATGGAAAATTGAGATGATAAGAAAAATACTGCTCCAAATAAAGACACCTTTTAAAAATTTAATGTAGCCTGCTTGGGTTCAGGTGAGAAATCCTGTAGTTTTGTATGGAAGTTGGCAGTAAAAGGTGGTCCTCCTGTGCTGGCAGCAAACACTCTGAGAAGAGGGTGTTAAGTGAGATGCCCTAGCAGATGCTTGCCCTGTGCTTTCTCCAGTTCTGCATCAGGACTTAGCACATTTGTACTGGAGAGGGAGGCTCTCCCATACCCCCACTTTAAGCCTTGCTTCCACAGCTTGCTGTTTGGTATAATTGATTGAATCCCAGGGGTTCCTGAGAAATGTGCTTATTCAGTCAGCTGGAAGTCTTTTGCAAAGCTCAGTAATCCCTGCATGTTATATAAATCCTACACCTGTCATAGGCAGTGTGACAGGCAAGGCTTTCTCAGCCCAGCCTCTCATAGTTTATGTAGGAAGTGGTGTCCCAGAGTCCCAAACTACTTTGAGCAACATTTGGAATGCATGAGTGTTAGGTATGCCAAATATCCCAGGGAAGATTTATGCTGGAATCTGCAGAATGCTGTATATTAGCTGCTATTAAGCCTCCTTGGCAAGAAATGTTTTGCTCAGCTTGTTTATTTGCATGGAGTCAGTGAATAGTGTCTTCAAGTGCTGGTCTTTACAGTATCACTGGGCATCAGAGTTAACAACCCAGAGAGGGAGATCATTTCCTTGTGTTCACACACTTGTGACACTTTCTGCAGTTTTGGGTTGCCAGTTTTTCTCCAATGCCTGTTACAAAGGATTTTTTTCAAATGTCTGATGAAATTCATCCATTTTTATTATTGCTTTACATGAAAACCTAAAATTAGGGGTACAACAGAAGCACAGATACAAAAATTCAACACCAGATTGTTTATCTGATGCCATTCTGTTCATGATAAGCAAGACCAGAGGATAATAAAGAGTAAATGCACAGTGAAACATGCTGGTGCAAGCAAAACTGAAGTAGCAAATGTCACCCAAATTCAGTTTGTATTTTATTCTCTGCAAGGTGGAAAACTTAGGGAGTGGATGGGTCTATTGTACCCCATCAGTTATTCCCCTTTCTGTTAGCCACTGATGTATGCTAATAGTCAGAGGACACTGTTTTCAGTGTATGAGAAGTTTTATTGGTTCTTCAGAATCTTGGAGTTTTGCTATAGAATGCCAGTCAGGCTGATAGCCTTGTGCATTATTAGGGGTAGTTTTAAGTACAAAATTGCATCTGGGCTACGATGACAATTATACTATTATAGGTGCTGTAGACTAGTGTAGGCTAATTAATTCTCTCTTTCAGAAAATCTTGGCCGTCTGGATGGGAGCCGTGCTTGGTGTTCAGCCTCTTTGAATCTGTCCTCAGTGCTGAGTTTATCCATTCCATTTTCTCTTTTGTGATAATTGCTTTAATGTACTTCCTAAAATACCTTTTCTCAACAGAACTCTGAATGCCAACACAAAGAAAGGATTTTACAGTGCCTGATGTTTGTCAGTCTTTAAATGGATTTTTAATTATGCATTTCAGTTCTCTAATGCAAAAGATAAGTAGTCAGCTATTTAGCTGCAACTTCATTTCACTTGGGAAGAGCTGGACACTTACTTTGCTTGGCAATAGAACAACACAAAACATTAATCACTAGGGGGAAAAAAAGTAATTTTTCTGTAACTATTTTGCCTTTTGGGACAATCCTCTTCTAAAATGTGAACTGTGAGACCTGTTCCCTCAAAGAAGAATCATAATTTGGAAAGCAAACCTGGCTCAGATGAAGGGCCCAGGGACACCATAAGCACACCACAGACTCACTGCAGAATAGACATCCCAAAAAGTTACTAGTACACTGCTGCAAAGCAATGCCAAAGCACCCATGTGAAGTACTTGTTGGCATGGGTAATTTGTCAGCTAAGTAGTTCTTCCTTCTAAAGTTTTACTGTATTTTCTGCTTTATTGTTTTAGTTGCTTTAGTAAGAAGTTTATTTTACAAGTTCTTTACCTTGATAACACACTTCTCTGTGACGTCTCATCTTGTTATCTATACACTCAGATGATGTTTTGTGAATCAGTGTTTTCATTTTGCTACTGTAAAATGAAAACTTCTGTATTGTTGGGAAGGTGACTCAGTCACCTTCCCAACAATACAGAAGTTTCTTAGTTCTGTGTGTTTGATGTTGGTAGCCCTCCCACAATTAAAGGTACCTTGAAGACACTTCAGACAGAAGTACCACCATGGAGAGTCCTTGAAATGTCTTTGAGAAATAGAAATGTGTACGTTTTTGTTATTCCATCAGTCCATCAGCTCCTGTTGGGTTGCCATGTGTCTGCCTTCTGCCTGGTGGGAGAAGTCTTTGCTTCTATGAGCCAAAAAAAATCAGATTAAGAAACAACAGAAAGATCAGATTGAAATTCCCTGGTAAAATCTGAAGCTGGGAAGAACATTGACTCTTCGGGCAGAGCACTAGGAGATCCTGGGGCAGTTCTGATGGCTCACACCCTATGAAAACTATAGTATCTGAGTTTCTGAATGGAGACAATTGTGAGTTTGGATTAAGCTGCTCAGGATTCTTGCTCCCCAAGTCATCCTTAAATGAAAGCATGATATGGTTGTAACAGACTTTTCTCTATAGCTATCCTGTCAAAGTTTGCAGAGATTTTGTTTTAATGTCTTATGTAAGGTAAGAGGTGATATTTTTATATTTCTCATTCATCTTTAGTGATATTTCTTTTATTTTTATTATTTCAGATCTCTGAGAAATATGGGCTGCCAGTTGAAAAGATTGCAAAACTTTATAAGAAGAGTAAAAAGGGGTAAGTTATTTACCTTCCTAAGGATCTATTGCAGGATCCTTTAGAAGTAGTCACAGATCCCAGTTATACCTGGGGCCTCATGATGCTGGGCAGCACAAACTCTTTCAGGAGACAAACCCATGTGCTTGAAATCTTCATGTCTATGGAGACTGTAAGGGATGGCAGAATAGGAAACATGGATCTCCAATCTGTGTCTGACCAGTATTCATAAGCTTACTGTGAAGGAAAGGTTTGTGGATAAGATATGTGGGTAAAGTCTGTTTTGTAGGCAATATGCTTAATAACCTCGTGGAGGGCCAGCATGGGAAATGCTGCCTTTGCTGTGAATGCAGTGTGGAGTTTTCCTGCAGTGTTAGGGAGAAGGCCACTGTCTTACTCTGAAAGACAGGCAATGTTTGCTGCAGCCATTTCAGCTGAATAAATTTAGACATGAACATCACAGCTGGACTTTTAGAATAGCTAGGCTTCTGCTCCTTGCCATAAAACTAAATCTCTCCACTTCAACTGTTTTTTAAAGTTCTATTTAACCACAATATTGTAGCAATATAATTTTAAACCAGTAATTTATTTTCAGCTGTAACTAGCTTAGGGCATTGTTGTCTGGGAATTTCTTTAGCTTTTGAGAAGACAGGTGAAACTTCTCATGTTTTGCTTCTTTCTAAGTGACAGAAGAAACACTTGGAGGTAAAGAGTGAGGAAAACACTCATATACACTTGTAATTGTACATTACACAATTACACAATTGTGTAGTCATTGTTGATAGTCTCACATCTAAGCTGAGTTCTAAGTCTGTGAGCTGTGTGCAAAGCACAAATTCCACTGCTTCCCTGTGCTTCCCTCCCACCACAGAGGTGCAGCGGCTCACATGGTGTGTCTGAGGAGTAGCACAGATGTGTCCCTGTGGGAGCCACCACCAGGCACGGGAAGCACCAGCTGGCTGGGTCTGCCAGGGATCTGAAGTGCAGCCCATCTGTAGGTAGCCTAAGTGTGTTAGCATCCCAGCACTGGCATGTCCCTTAACTGCTCTGGCAAGGAGCAGCCTCTAATCCAAAGACTACAAGGGACTACGGGGCAGATCTTGCTGGTGATTCCTACTGGTGAGCCTGTACTGGCGTGTGCTGGAGTCTGGTTTTGTGTTGTAGAGAAGCAAGTACACGTGGCAGAGTGTAAAGCTTTTCCTTTCAGTGTTCTGGTACATAAAAACATTGATTTCTGCCTTTGTCACCAGCATCCTGGTAAACATGGATGACAACATTATTGAGCACTACTCCAACGAGGACACATTCATCCTGAACATGGAGAGCATGGTTGAAGGCTTCAAGATCACACTGACAGAGATCTAGCCTCAGGCAGAGCCATTTTTGTAAGGAACCACAGCATTTCATCCTTCTTGGAAAGCAGATTCCCCATAAACTTGACAGACATTGATCAGAGAAACTGTTACAAGACTGCATTGAAAATACTGTCCATTCTGCACATCTGCAGCCCCTGCAGATATAGCCTTGGGTTTGTCAAGGACAAGGCCATTCACAGTAACCTGGTCCCCTATTTATTGTTCCTCACTCTCTAGTGTACAAGCAGTTACCAGCCCCCAGATTTGTAACCAGATGACCCACTGCAAATGTGAAATGCAGCATTTTAATCCATACTTCAGTGTGGATAAGCTCATTCTAAAACACATTCAGTAACTATGCTGGTCTAATTTCAGAAATCTGGTATAAATCACTTTACCAGTAGTTGACTCTGTCATTGCTAAAAATCTGTTGCAGTGCTAAAGATGGGCAAAGTGGCTGACAATTCACTTGCTCAGACTGATCCATATCTCTCTCTACTGTATAGTCTTGCCAAATACCTCTGGTAGTTCTCAGCATGTAGCAATGAGGACTTGTAAGTAAGGCATTCAGCTACAAATGTAACTTGTAAGTAAATGGTAAAGAAACCATTTTAACCTTGTATATAATGTTTATAATATGCAATAATATATTTTAACTACTGTATGTGGGCATGTTTACTGCCACTATGTTTTTGTATGTATTTGGTTTAGGGTTTCATAGAATCTTTCTTAGAGGATTAAATTGCTGCAATCTGTTAAAGAGTGTGTACTGAGAAGCTGATAACTGAATCTGTACTCATATGCTCCATCCTTGCTCACACAATTGTATATTGAAATATTAGAGCAGACTCTGCTACTGGGTCTTGGATGCTCTGGCATAATGGGGCCCACTGTAGGTGCCCAAGTCCCAGCTGTAGAACCTGAGTCTCCCATCCAGCTGGAACAAAATCCAAGAGACACCGTGTGTCTGCTGCCTGCTTTGCCAAGAGGTACAGAAGGGACTTCTTCCTGATCGTTTTCCTTTGATGAAGCAGAGGCTCCTAAAGTGGTATTTTCTCAAACCTGTGGTGGGAAGGTTCTTTCTGCAGCAGCCTGTGCATCAAAGCATTCCTCTAGACTGTAAGAAACAGGACTTCAGACTCTTCCTTTTAAGTGTATTTGCTCTTGTATCTCCATTGAATGATTCAGCTGTGATTCCTAGGACACTTGGGTGATGTATAAGCCTGGGCTTGATGTAGATATTTTATCAAACTGGAACAATTTTTCCACTGGAGGCTGAGTATCCCACAACTGAGGAGTGGAGATTGGTCTCTCTCTCAAGGGCTGCATCTGAACCCAAGTTGAACTACATGGTTATTCCATCAAATTCCACACCTGCCTTATGAATTCTGTGAAGAGATAAAGTTGTGCAGGCTAAACTCATACCAGGAAAGGGGTTCAAGGCCTGAATGTCCCTATGACATCCAAACCCAGCATCTCTCTCTCTCCATTCCATCTCCTCTGGCTGTTGTGGAGAGCTCCTCACTTAGCATATAATTCCATGAGTTTCAGTTGAATTTTATTCTCTACCACTGTGCATGGATGTGTGACAGACAGAAGTGGGGTCCTTTCCTACATGCAGCCTTTAGAGTTTATTCTTTTCTTTCTAAAACCTTTTCTCATTTAGTCACACAACCTTTATTATTTGGTGGTTAATGGCAGAAAGCAACACTGCCATGTTTAACAGGGCTCATGTGTGGAGCTATTTACATTCAAGTAAAGTAGCTGGGATAACTGACCAGTCTAATTTGGCCATATCTGCATGAATTGTCCTGTAAGTTCATGAACACTTTCTTAACTTCATTAGCAGTAGCATCCCATTAAAATCTCTTCTTTAATAGAAATGTTAAGTACATGTTGTTTCTGTGGGAGCAGAAACTATAAAGGGTTCAGGCTGGTAGCATCAGCACTAACATACCAAGAATTCACATATGCCTGTAAAGCAAAGTGTGTATTCTGTCTTTCTCCCACCCTTTTCTTTTGTCATGCACTCTTTCCCCTTCTGATGCAGAGTTCTGCTGTAATTTGCTTAACTTTATATAAAAATGCACTCCAGGAAAGATGCTCTTGCTATGCTGTTCAAGAGCAAACAATCTGGGAATACAAGAGATTTATGATGGTTCTGTTTGTTTCTACTTGGCTCAGACTGAGATAAAAAGTCTATGCTGACTTATCCCAGATAATTTTTTCTTAAAGAAAAAAATAGGACAGTTGATACAGGAAGCATTAGGGACCAGCACACAGGACTGGTAAGCAGTACTGTCAGTTCTTGTATTTCTCTGTTGGTGTTTGGAATCCTCAGAATATCATCTGGGATCTCTCATCTGGTCAAGATGTCTGGACAGATCTCTTGGGTGCTGCAGCATCCTGTGATGAGGAGCAGTGTAGGATCAGTGAGAAGTGCAGTGCTTCAGGAATACTGGGAGTTAAGGAGTTTTCCATTGTCATTTTAAGGGCCTTCAGTCAGCCACTGTCCAGAAAAGCAAAGTTGCTTCCAAGATTAACTGAAAGCTATTCTAAATACATCTCAAAGTGTGCAGATTCCTGATAGTAGAAAGCTAATACTCCTGCCTTTAGTTCCTCTTACAGTCTCAGTGAAGTTATCAGGAAGGTGACTAGATTGGTGGCAAGATTATTTTAAAACCACAACTAGAGCTAGGTAAGGATGATCATCCTTTACTTTATCTGCCAGGCTCTGAGGGCTTTGTTTCTCTGCTCCAGATGCAGGTGCCTCACAAGCACTGAGTATCCGTGCTGCACCCCCTTCAGTTGTAGTTGTAGCATCAGCTGCTGGAGGAGCACTGAACCTTGGATGCTGCTTGTGGCAAGCTCCAAGCTCTCAGGCTTCACCTTTTTGGTCCAAATCAGCCCATCAGAGTGGTGGGAAAGGGGCAGTAGTGGTATGAGTAATGCAAACTTCTGAAGCAGTGGCTGCCTTGTGCCCTGCTTGACTCAGATATCCTGAGGAGTACACAGTGCTTACATGTATATTGTTTAAAATATGCATGTTGCTTTTGTTTGATAAAAAAATATTGATTAATGCTGGGTCTTCCAAATATTATGAGTTAAATGGAAGTAGGATTTGTCTACTGTTCAGCAGGGGACAGGAATATCTGTCTTGCCTCCTTTGTCTCTTTGTGGAACTGCTGTGGTTGTTTGTTTAAAGGAACAAAATTCTCATTTCCTTCTCTTCTTCAAGACAGCAGTCTTGAATCTTAAATAGTACAGCCTGAAGAGTGGCTTGCTGCTCAGTGCATTTTCCCTATGAAGAAAATGCAGTGTCTGTAGATGTTGTGTTTTGAAAAACTCTAGAGATGTACAAAAGGAGAACTTCTAATTTTGGTTCCTGCTGCAGATTTGGCACTTTGTCCGTCCATTAGATGTTTTATTATGAAATCCCATTCAAATTCTCAAATTCTAGTTCTTTCTCACAGTCAGGTGCTGATATTCCCAAAATATAGTGGATCCCTTGAGTGAAGTTTTGTGGATGTACTATGATCACCCCATCAAGACATTTTGGAGGATTTCTAACACTGAGTGTAAGCTACAAAGGTTTTATCATGTGTGTCCTCTCTCACAAAGTTTTTGGTCAATGGAATTCAGAGATCAAATGTCTTTCTTATATATTTTTCTTTTTCATTCTATGAATTGTTTAAATGTAAATTAATTCAAACAATTAGTAAAATCTAAACTCTCTAGCTGTCAGAGATGCTGTATATTGATGGAACTGGAGAGGAGTATCTTATGACTTATAAAATGTAAAGCTTATTAAATGTTTATATGCTCTTCCATTTCCTATTAATTGAGACAAGATACAAACAAGAATGTTTGTGCCAAAGGTTGTGACAAGCCGTCTTTCTGGCAAACAAGGAAACTTAATGTATAAATAGTGTGCTTTTATTTTAAGAATTAGCTCATGTAACTTAATAGTGTTGCAACTGGGAGAGGGGTTTGATAAGCTGTAAATACAGTTATTTTATTTTTTGTACATTTTTAAGAAGGAAAAAAATAAATATTCCTATGTATGAGACAATATTGCTGTTGCTGTGGTGTGTATTACTACATCTCTCCAGGAGGTATCAATATGTACCAGTACCTGAAGGGGTGCAGAGAGGATGGAGTCAGGCTCTTCTAAATGGTGCCCAGTGACAGGACCAGAGGCAAGGGGACACACACTAAAACACAGGAGGTTCCCTCTGAAATCAGGGAATGCTTTTTACTGTGTGACTAGGCACTGGAGTAGGGTGCCCAGAGAGACTGTGGAGTCTCTATCCCTGCAGATATTTAAAAGCTGCCTTGACGTGGTCCTGGACAATCAACTCTGGTTTGCCCCACTTGAGCAGGGAGATTGGACCAGATGAACTACAGAAATACCTTCCAACCCCAGCTATTGTGTGATTCTGTGACATGTTGGAGTGTCCTGGGAACCTGGCTGGAAGCACTGACAGTAACTTCTTTGCGACTCCTGGGCACCTGAGTTGAGATCCTTACCACACCTACTCCAAAAGCACTGAAGCATACCTGGCCATGTATCTTGCAGTAAAACATTTTCATCAAACATTTTATTCTCCACCCGTTCAGTTTGGCTTTTCAAACAATATTCGGGAGGTCAGAACATCTTAGTAGGTGGGAAATTGCTTGGAAAAAGCATTTTCCTCAGCAAAGGTTGATTCCCCAAGCAGTAGCAGGACAGCCCTGTCTTACAGTGGGGTGCAGGAGTTCAGTGCTCTGGATGAGCAGTGCAGGGTGAGCCAGGATCAGCTCCCATGGAGCCCTTTAAGGTAATCACATTTCCTGGGCATTGCCTGTGATAGATGTTTAATTATGTTTTATAGGAGTGGCTTTACTGAGTGGCTCTTGGGATGCAAATGCTTTAAAGCTGTGTGGTTGGCAGTGCTCCATCTGCAGGGCCATGGAGGGGTGAGGAGAAGTGTGTGGGCGGATGGGAGCCCCTGCACCCACTGTGTGCTCAGGGCTTGGGCTGTGTCTGGCATGGCTGAGCCAGGCTCCAGCAAGGTGACTCAGGTCACCTTCATTAAAGGTCATTGAGAAGGACTGACCCCTCTTTAGGAGCAGGAAGCAAAACTCTCCACCTCTAGCTCCCGACTGAAACTTCTGGGGACTCACTGGAGCAGCAAAGCTGTCCCTTTCAGCACCTTCTCAGTCTCTTGGCTCAATTTGTGCTGCAGAAAACACTGACGGATTCTGGAGCACACCACTTTCCAGATGGAGCCATGAGCTGCAGGATCACAGTTCCCTCCTCCCTGAGGTGGTGGGAGCTCCACTCTGGGATTGTGGGAGTGCAACTGCTCCAGTGCCTGGGGCAGATGGCTTTGCACAGCGAGAGGAGGGACAGCAAAGGGGGTAAGTGGAGGATTTTAGCCCCCCTGTACAAATAAACACCTCATTACACCCAGTCTTTTATGCTAAATCGTATCATGGCCCTAAAGGGAGGGTGGGGGGAATG